GCACGCGGCGCCCGGCGCGCGCGGGCAACGACCCCGGAGCACGGGCGGGCCTGCCTGGCCCACGCTCAGGTCGGGCCTGTCCCCCTAGAGGCGGATCTTGGACGAAAAATGAAACATACCCCCAAACAAAAATCCCCCAAAGAATCAAACATGCTCAAACGATCCTCCCCATCCTATTCTTTTGACCATTGTGGAATCTCCCCCCTTTCGAGGGACACGCCCGGCTTACAAGCCCACGCCGCCCCTGCATGTGGGGGCGCGGGCCTCGCGGGGGACCAAAGGCAGCCGGCGCGGCCCGGCCTCAGAAGGCCTCCTCCTCCCCCCAGACCCCCGACGTCATGATTTTTCCATGACGGCGACCCCAGAGGTCCCGACCCTTTCCCCATGACTGGCTTTGCATCCCGAGTCAGTTTTTGACGCCCCCGAGGCCCGGGGAGGGCCCCCGGAGGCCGAAAATGAAGGAAAACCTCCCGTCGTGATATTTGTTCATCGCTCGAGGGGGTCTGGGCCCTCCCGAGAGGCTCCCCGAGCCTCCCTGGGCGGGCCCGGCCAGCCTCCCGGCCCTCAGACGGGGCTCCCGGGAACCTCTTCTCGGCGGCCGCAGGGGGGCTCTCCAGGAGGCCGGGAGGGCCTCCAAGAGGCCCCGCAGTGCCCTGGGAACCCAGACCCCTTCGAGTGATGAAAAAATCACGACGGAAGGTTTCTCCTAATCTTCGGCCTCCGGGGGCCCTCCCCTGGCCTCGGGTAGGGGGCCACATGCGAACCCTACCCATGCCCCCCACGATTTCTGGGGGGGAGGGTGGGGTTCACTCCCTTCGGGAGCTCCCGAGCGAAGTGAACCCCACCCTCCCCCTCAGAAATCGTGGGGGGTAGGGGTAGGGTTCGCATGTGGCCCCCTGTCGGGAGCGTAACAAAAACGGCTCAGGATGCAACGCCGGTCCTGGGGAAACGGTCGGGACCCCTGGGGGTCGACGCAAGGAACAAATCACAACGTTGGGGGTCCGGGAAGGCCCCGCCGCTCCCTCGCCTCCCCCCTCTGGCGGCGCCGCCGACGGTGGCGGCGAAGGGGCGGGGGCTGCCTGGCCAGCGCAGGGCCGACCTCCCCCTCGGGGGCGCGGCGACGCGGATTCGCGAGCCACGCACCTGGCGCGCGGTCGCCACGTCCATGGATCGGGGGATCCGCCATCTCCCAGGGAAGCGGGGCCCGTCGCCAGGTCCTCGCCCCCGCGATGTCCACGTCTGCGATCGCCCGATCCTCGCCGAGGCCCGGCCTGCGCGCCCGAGGGCATGCGGGCGCCGCGCCGTGCGGCCGTCCACCTCGAGGGGATGGGCATACGGGGGGGACGCATCGACACCCCATCGCCCACTGATCGCCGATGGGGGCCCGATAGCCCCAACCTGCCCAGGAACGTGCGGATGCAGTATCGGGGGCCTATCGCTGATCTATCGGCGATTTGTCGCCGATTCCAGGTCGATGTGCCCCCCCCTGATCATGCCAGGTCCCCTCTACCGTTGCCCCTCATTCCGTCCGCCCTCCTGGTCGCTGAAACCTTCCATTGCGGGGGCTGTTCCCATGACCCCGTGACGAGGTCCGCTGAGGCGAAGCCCAGCGAGTGCGCGACCGCGCTGGTCGGGCGCTGAGAACCACAGGCTGGGCCAAGGGCCCTGGAGGCGCAGGCCGAGGAACGCCGTGCTCACGCGGTCGCGGGCGGCCAAGGAGGCTGGCGACGGCTGCGCGCGGGAGGCGGCGCGCGCGCGCGCTGCACCTCGACAGCTGCAGGCAACATCGCCCCCCGTGACGCCCAGGCAATCGACGCAGAAGCCGATCGGCCCGTGTGCGAGCGCGCGGACTAAGCCTAGGCGGCACCTGCTGTTTTCCCCAAGAGCGACAGGAAGGACTGGCGCGCCAATCATCGAGGGCGCGATCTGACAGCCTGGGGCCAAACGGTGCACTTGGTGCGTGACAACAGCCCTGGCTCCTGAGGACTTCGGTCGGAGCCTCGCGTTTGTAAGTCTCACTGGGTGCTCTCCGGATGCTGCAAGAATTCTTCGATTCCTGAGTCACCACAACACCGATGAATGGCCGCCACACTAGGATGAGCCCCAGAATCGTCGCACTCTGGCTCAAACACTGCCCCGCCAGAAGGGGATAACCATCAGGAGAAGTGGGCAGCGTAGTTGCTCCAAAATGGCTGCCACGCGCGCCGATGACTGAAACAAGCACCGACGATAAAGAACGACGTGGAGTTAAGAATTTCTGTGAATCACCGCGCAAATTTGAGAGCCCAAGAGGATAACAGTGGAGGGGGACGCCAGCGGCGAGGAGGAGGATGAGGATGAGGAGGAGGAGGAGGAGCAGGGGGGGCAGAGAGAGGAGGAGGAGAAGGAGGAGAGGGGATAACTCGGGCGTGCGCATTCAGACTTGCTCTTGTGCTCATCTGCGCCACAAGTGTTTCCCACAAGCGCTGCTTCAAACAGGCAACAAGGACAATAAAGGATCTGGTCGGTGCCGCGGGTTATAAAAGCACTAGCCCCAATCAGATCAGGAAAGATGACTCAGTAGTTCAAGACACGACGGGAACATGATTAGCGCAAGCTCCAATAGTCCTGCGGTGCCACGCGCAAGAGCCGTTGCAGTGCAAGCAGTTCGTGCCCCATGCCAAATGTCCCCGCGACGGGGCTCGATTCAAGCAGCGCGGGTAGTGTTTTTCCAGAAGGCCTGGGCCCCGAGGCTGACTCAGGCGGTCCTGGGCCCCAGCTCGTCTTCTGGAGGCGGATGTTTTGAGGAACCAGACTGCTTGATGTCGCGTTGCCTGTGCTCGTTATCAGTGTCCACCTCATCTGCCTTGAGCTGTTTTTTTCTCGGTCTCCCCCACCTGACCATGCTCTTTGATCTCGTCGTGCAAGTAACTTGCGAGCTGCCTCGCTTCGTTCCACTTGCATTGAAGCGGATCCTGCTTGTTTTTGCAGGTCTCCTAGATGCTCCCAATCATCTATTGGACGTGCCCCTGTGTGAAGATGTCGGGCAAGTCTGCGTCGGGACCCTTATTCACTGAGATGTCCGTCAAGTAAAAGGCGAGTAGCATTACTGAGACCCTGGTCTGGGCAGGGTTATCTTCGTAATGATGAGGATTGCGTCCTCTGCCATAGCAGTTCGACAACAGACGCTGCTCGAAATTGGTGATAGTTGGCAAAGGTAAGGACAACTTACTCACCGCTCCACAACAACGGAATTACAAGAGATGCCATCGCATGCCGAACTACCCCACAACCGAATCCCAAGCCGAACGCTCTCCGGACGGGACAAAACACAAACGATCCGAAATGATGGCATGAACCGGAATGGCTTGAACCGACGATAAGATGACGGTGATGATAATGAATCCGAATATGGTGGCGGTGATGATAGCGGTGACGATGATGACGACGATGATGTCAATACCAAACGTCCTCGATGGTGATGATGATGCTGCTGCTGCTGCTGATGATGATAATGATGATGATGATGATGATGATGATGATGATGATGATGATGATGATGATGATGATGATGATGATGATGCTACCGTCAAAAGGTGTATTAAGGACGGGTGGTAAGGACGCAAGACCCTTGGAGGACGAAGTTGGGATTTTTTGGACGGCGGGCGACCAGTGAAAGCGGCAGAGGACGGGCCGCAGAGGCAAGGGCACGAGGGTAACCCTAGATGAAGGCGCACGTCCAAACTGGGCGTGTTGATTGTACTGCTGATGCTGTTGATACTGTGATTGATGGCGACGCCGGCGACGATGACGACGACGACGAGATTAGGAGCGGAGCGCGGCCGCAAAAAGGGGTGGGCGGAGCTTGCTTTGGCTCCGAGGCGGCTCGAGCGGGCCAAAAAGTGCTCCGGACGCTGCTGCCCCCCTCCTCCTGCTCCACCTCCTCCTCCACCACTGCGTCCTGCTTCTCCTCCCTCCTCCGTCTCCTCCTCCACCTCCTCCTCCTCCTCCTCTTCCTCCTCCTCTTCCTCCTCCTTCCCCTCCTCCTCCTCCTCCTCCTCCTCCTCCTCCTCCTCCTCCTCCCTCCTCCTCCTTCCCCTCCTCCTCCTCTCTCCTCCTCCCAGCGCCTTCTCCTCTTCCTTACCCCCTCCTCCTCAGTGTCCTCAGTGTCCTACCTGAGGGCAGCCCGCGGCATGTCCTGGGCCCGGATGCTCTTGTTGCCAGAGCAGACGCCGATTGCTCCAGCGATGCGGTCGGCGCTGGCGCGCCAAGGTGGTTGTTGGCTGCACGGTGCCGCCGCGGTGGCCGCCCCTTCCGGGTAGGGGCGCCGCCTGAGAGCTTGGCAGTCGTGGCCCATGCGGGCGCGCAGGCGAGGCGACGCGCCCTTCGCGGCTGGGCTCGCTCGGTCATGTTTCCGCGGATCCGCGACACCGAGCAGATCTGGTTCCGGGAACAAGTGGGCCGCTGGAGTGACACAGGCCTCCTGCCCGTCGCGGAGGTCCTCCCGTGACACTGCGACTGGCCCCTGGCCCTCGGGCGGGCGTCCTGGGGGCGAACCGTGTGGCGCTTCCGCTGTGCAGGAGGTGCGTCGCGCGCGTGTCGCTGCAGATCCCAGCTGGGGCTCGGGGCCCGCCCGCGGAGCGACGGCCCGAGCGCGTGCCGCCCGCGGGGCGCCGGCGGGGGCAGGCTGCCTCCCGCACCTGCTCGAGTGCCGCGTCGCCGCGGAGGCGCACGGGGGAGCGGCGTGGGCCGCGCGGGGCTCGCCGAGGGGCGAGTGCCGTGGGGCGCCACGGGGCACCCCGGAGGTGGACGAGCCAGCTGCCACGATGCGGACGCTTGGCGCGGCTGCGCCGACCTTCGTGCACGCATGTCAGCGCCGCGCGTGAAGGGGAGGGGGCGGCGGGCTCGCGCGCGCGCTCCCTCCCTCCCCACCTCCCTCCTCCCTGCCTGCAGGCATGCCTACAGCCCCTCCCTGCCCATGGGCACTGCCTCCCCCCCTCCCTGCCCATAGGCACTGCCTCCCCCCCTCCCCTCCCCCTTGCCTCAGGCGCGCCCACGGGCCCTCCCTGCCTACCGGCACTCTCCCGTGCACTGCCTACAGGCACGCCTACAGGCCTTTCCTGCCTGTAGGCACTCTCCCTCCTTCGCCCCCTTCTCCCCCCGTGCCTACAAGCACGCCTATAGGCCCTCCCCACCTATAGGCGCCCTCCCCCTGCCTACAAGCACGCCCACAGGCCCTCCATGCCTACGAGCACGCCTACAAGCCCTCCCTGCCTACATGCATCCGGCATCCGCGTCCCCCCAAAGCAATACCTATAGGCGCTACCCGCAGGGACTTTCTGACTACGAGGGCCCGTAGGGCCTATAGATCGGAGGCGTCCCACAAGGGAGGAGCGCCGCGTATACGCGGGAAGCAACCCGAAGGGTCACAGTCCAATGAGTCCTCCTCCTCCTCTTCCTCCTACTCCTCCTCCTCATGCTCCTTCTGCTCCCCCTGCCTCGGCCAGCAGACGGAAGCGGAGGAGGCATAGGAGGAGAAGGAGGAGGAGGAGGAGGAGGGGGAGGAGGAGGAGGAGGAGGAGGAGGAGGAGGAGGAGGAGGTAGAGGTAGAAGAGAGAAGGATGAGGAGGAGGAGGAGGTCGAGGAGGAGGAGGAGGAGGAGGAGGAAGAGGAGGATGATGATGATGATGACGAGGAGAAGGAGGAGGAGGAGGAGGAGGGAGTGAGGGAGGGAGGGAGGGAGGGAGGGAGGGAGGAGGAGGAGGAGGAGGAGGAGGAGGAGGAGGAGGAGGAGGAGGAGGGTGAGTTCTTCTCCACACAGTGTCTTGAGACGAAGCCAGGGCGCGGCGGCAGCTCCAGAGCGCTCCGCGACGCTCTGATAACGCTCTGGAGCAATTCTTATCCCAGTCCTCTTGCACTCAGGGGCTCCTCTGAGTGTACTGTACTTGTGTAGTAAGGAGTTGGCGGGGTGTGTCCGAGTTTCGCCCGGCGTGTGCCTGTGGGCGCCTCGTGCTCTGGGTTCTCGCCCAATGGGGCAACCGTGCATGCGTGTTCGGGAATTTCGCCCCGTTGCCTCATGGAAACCCTGTGGGCTGCCGGGTGTTCTGGGTCTTCGTGCACTTTGCGCCCGTGGGCGCCCCGTGCTCTGGCTGGCGCTTGTGGATGCACATCGACCGCGCCCAGCACGTGCACGACAGCAGTTGCGCCACCTCTGTTCCCTGATCGAGCAAGTCTGTGCTGTCGGCTGCGTGGTGTGCAGGCTGTGTGCTGCAGGGTGTGCGGCGTGAGCAGTTCGGCGCAAGAAGTGCCGTCAAAGCTGCGTGGCCAGGTGGTGCAGGCTGCGCCACGGGCGGGCGCCAGGCCACACGCCTCGGCCGACCCACCCTGCGCACGACGCCTCCTCCTCCTCCTCCTCCTCCTCCTCCTCCTCCTCCTCCTCCTCCTCCTCCTCCTACCCCGCGAGGCGCCCACGGGCGGGCACCAGTTTGAACCCCCCTGGCCGATCGACCCGACCGGGCGGAGACCAGGAGGCACCTCGGCTGATCCGTCCGGCGCAAGTAGCGCAAGGCGGGCACCCGAACTGCAAGCAGTGCAAGGTTGCTTGTCAGGCCTATTGTTCACGACCGTCCATCCGACACATGAACTCTTACACACCCGACCGATTACTTATACCGACCTCCCCCAGGTCATCCGCCAGATAATACTACGCGGAACACGCGTGCTGGCTTTACACGTGTGCTTTCAATGACTCGTACCACGCTGTACCAGACAGGTCGCGCGCGCACATGCCGAACTCGTTCCCGAGACCTTGACTTTCAAATGACTTCAGGCAACACCTGCCGACACACGTGTTCTCTTAAAGCGCAATGCCGCAATTCTGTGCTCGCCCTCGCTGGAATCGCACGGCAGCCGTAGCTCGTGTTGACGCCCTGTCCCAGGAGGCCACGCGGGCCACACGCTCGAGCGCGCGCGTCGGAATCATCCAGCAAGCATCGCGCAAATAATGGAACGCACGCCTCAGGCACGCGTTTCCGCGGGTGCCCAACCTGGATTGACTGCAAAGCCATTGCGTTTCCACAAGCGGCTGCAGAGCCATTGCGTACTCCATACTTGTATGGGCAACCAACTGCTTTTCAATATCCTCCCTCCTCCTCCCACTCATCCCCACTTCCCTCGTCTGCCGCTCCTGCTCCTCCTCCTCCTCTTCTTTTCCCCTCTTATCATATCCTCTTCCACCTCCCTCCCTCCTTCCCTCCCTCCCCCTCCCACTCCCCCTCGTCCCTCGCTTCCCCCTCCAACCCTCCTCACTCTTCCGTCCTCCACAATTCCACCATATGAATACTATTCTCCTCTCTTCCCTGACTCTGCCCGGAAGATGCTCGGCCTTTTTCGCGTACTTTAAAACAACACACGGCTCCTGACCTTCTTTTCCGGTATGTTTTTTGAATGTGATTGTATTCGGTGTTTCAAAATGGTGCTCCCGCTGACGTGTGGGCCTCATTTCTGGATCGCCGCTTTGCTACCGTCGTTCGGACTGGCATTCTCACCCGCGCAGGCCAACTTTCTGGATCCGAGTCCTTCTTCATCGTTGTCGCCCCCCTTCGCTTCCCCTCCTCCGCCTTCCCCTGGCCCTCTTGCTCCTCCTGCTCCTTCCGCTCCAGCTCCTGCTGCTGCTACTACTGCTGCTGCTGCTGTTCGTCCTCGCCATCCTTCCTCCACCTCCTCCTACAATGTACGCAACTCCCCTTTTCCGTTTGTGATGGGGTCCCCTTTGGATTCCAAGGTCCGTTATGACACGCGTCGGCAGGTAGAGAACACACCAACGCCATGGGAAGGGCTGGGTGGGAGGAGTAAAGATGCCAGACATGGCGCGAATGCACATGGCTTGCCTCCCGATCTTGCAGCTCCTCCTCTCTTCTTCCACTCCCTTCCTCCCGCGCTCACTAGTCTGCCCCTCCCCATCTCCAGAATTAATCGATCTGGATACTACTCTCTTCTCTCTCTGTCTTCTGAAGGTGACCGGGGATTGGCCCGCCAACATCTGCATATTACATTTGTTTACGAAGGACTTTGTTTTTATATTTCCGATGTTTTTTTTCAGTCGGAGCGGTTTCGGTGTCTCAGAATGATGCTGCCGCTGCAGCGAGGGCCTCATTTTAGGATCGGCGCTTTGCTCCCATCGTTCAGAATGGCGCTCTCGCCCCAGCGCGGGCCATTTTTCTGGATCCGAGCGATTCCTCATCGTTGTCGCCCCGCTTCTTTCTCCTCCCCCGCCTTCTCTACTCTTGCTCCTGCTGCTGCTCGTCCTCCTCGTCCTCCTACTTCCTCATCCTCCCTACCTTCCCCTGGCCATCCTGCTCCTCCCGCTTTCGCCATCCTACTCCAGCTCCTGCTGTTGCTGTTCGTCCTCGTCCTCCTCTTTCCATCTCATTCTACTCTTCCACATGCTCATCTTCCTGCTCATCTGCTACCTTCTCTTCCAACGTACGCAGCTCCTCATTTGCGATTGTGCATGACCCGATGGGGTCTTGTCTGGAACCCCAGGTCTGTAATGGCACTCGTCGGCGGATATGAACAAAATCAGCGCAATGGGAATGGAATGAATGGGTGGGAGAGGTAGGATGTACAATATGGCGCCAGGGCATCCATGTAGCCCGTCCCCCTCTCCCTCCTCCGTCACCCCCTCGCATTCTCCGTCTTCGTCCTTGTCGTCGTCGTCGTCGTCGTCGTCGTCGTCGTCGTCGTCGTAAATGTCGTCGTCGTCGTCGTCGTCGTCGTCGTCGTCGTCGTCGTCGTCGTCGTCGTCGTCGTCGTCGTCGTCGTCGTTGGCCGCCGTCCATGTCGTCGGCCATGTCGTCGTCGTCGTCGTCGTCGTCGTCTGTGTTGTCCGTGTCGCCGTCGTCGCCGCCGCTCGTCGCTGCCGATCGTCGCCGCCGCCACGTCGGCCGTCGGCCGGCGGCTCCGGGCCGTTGGCCGCCGCCGCCGTCGGCCATCGACCGTCGGCCGCGGTCCGACGTCGACGTCGACGTCGCCGGCGGCGGCCGCGTGCGGGCGAAGCGTCTGAGCCCGTCGCAGGCCACAACGGCCCCACGACGTCGCCGCCGGCCTTCGCGGCGCCCGGGGCGCCGGCGAGGATCTTCAGGGCGTCCCGGACGCTGGGGCAGCCCCACCTGCGCGATGGGGGATCGACAACCGCGGCGGCGGCGGCGAGCGGCGGCGACGGCGTCGGCGTCGGGCAGGGCAGGGAGGGTTAGGGGGCATAACGAGGGGTTAGGGGGGACAGGGGAGGGGGAGGGGAGGGAGGGAGGGAGAGGGGGCAGGAGTGGGCGAGGAAGAAGGGTGAGGATAATTACTATGAGACTGAGAGGGAGGAAACTGAGGGGGAAGGGGAGGGTCGGGTCAAAGAGGAAGACGCGTCACGTCAGTGCAAGGCTGGTGAGGCTGATGAGGGAGATGGAGAAAGTGAAAAATGGGAAACGGGGATGTATGACGGGGATTGTTTACACCTCTACGGCTAGTGAACCAATGTGAAGAGGATCAAAGCTTCACACTCCTCTCCGCTACGAGGAAGAATGAGCGGAGCGAGGGGGAGGGAGGTGGACGAGGATTAGGAGAGGAGCAAGTGAGGAGGGTGGAGGATGAGGATGAGGATGAGGAGGATGAGGATGAGGAGGAGGAGGAAGAGAAGGAGGAGGAGGAGGAGGAGGAGGAGGAGGAGGAGGAGGAGGCGGGAGGAGGAGGAGGAGGAGGAGGAGGAGGAGGGACGGGACCATCGGACCACCACCATGACGACTGCGTCGACGATGCCGACGCCGCAGCCGACGCCGCCGATGAAGATGACACCGACGAAGACGAAGACGACGACGACGACTCGGGGCCTGTAGGCGAGCCAGCTGGACGCGGACGCCGCCAGCCAGAGCCCGGCGTCGGCGCCGAGCCAGTGCAGAATCGGGGCCTTCCGCTCCGCCGCCGCCCGCCGCTGGCGTCGTTGCTGCCGCCGCCGCCGTCGTCGCCGCTGCGGGCCGCTGCCGTCGTTGGCGCCGCCGTCGTCGCCGCCGTCGTCGTCCACGATGCCGCCGTCGTCGAGGTCGCTGTCGCTGTCGCCGTCGCCGCCGCCGTCGTCCTCTTCTGGTTTCGTCTTTCGCTGCGCCTGCTATCCCTCCCTCTTCCCCCCTTAGGGAGGGGGAGGAGGAGGAGGAGGAGGAGGGGGAGGAGGAGGAGGAGGAGGAGGAGGAGGAGGAGGAGGAGGAGGAGGAGTAGGAGGAGGAGGAGGAGGAGGAGGAGGAGGAGGAGGAGGAGGAGGAGGAGGAGGAGAAGGAGAGGAAGGAGGAGAAGGAGGATGAGGCGAGGCGAGGCGAGGCGAGAGAAAGCGAGGCGAGGCGCTGGTCAATCGTCCTGGGGGGGACGGCCCTAAGAGAGCCCGGCAGTGGCCCCGGAGCGCAGGAAAAAAATGAAATTTGAGGGGGAAGGGGGGAGGAGGATGGGGGGATTCAGGCCGTGTTGATGGAGTTTCGCACGCAATCCCCACAATTGACAGAAGCCAGTAATTCTGGCTCCAAAGCCAACCGTGCTTCTTGTCCGTCGCAATGTGTCTCCACCTTTTGTGGTCGTCCGCACCGTCGTGCGTAGTGGCTGTGCGTACGAATTGTGTGATTTCGGCATGCCATGTTTTCCGTTGTCCTCCGTGGCGTCGTAGGGCTGGGCGTGGGTCGTGGGTGTTCGGGGTCCAGTGCAGTGAGAGCTGCGTCCATCTGTCGTAGTCGTGGGTTGAGACGCGCGATGCCCACCGCCACTTCCATTTGAAGTATACCGTAGGCCAGTCCTCCACGCCTGCGCGCCGAGCCTCCAGGGCTGCGTGCGTCGATCTTCGTATGAAATCTTCCCACGGTTCCAACCCGTCTTCTTCTTCTTTTTTTTTCTTCTTCTTCTTCTTCTTCTTCTCTGTCGTCGGCTCTCTCGTGGTGGGTGGGGGCGTCTGCTGCGTCAGTGCTGGCCGCTTCGTTGGTGTCGTCGTCGTTTGCGTGGTTTGGAATATTGCGACGGCGTGGAACGCCGACAACCCGACAACACGCCTGAACAACCTCCGCTGGACACGCCGTAAAGTGAGGAGCATATCGCTGTGAGGGTCCAAGAGGAGCACCCATACATCACTGATGCTGTGACTTTTGCACTGAAGAGCCTCAGTCGACAGTGGAATGGGAAACGCTGGTGTGTGTCAGCTCGTATCTCAATTTTTTGAAGCGACCCCGTCCTGCGGCTATCCTATTGCGTAGCTCTGTCTCGTGGAAGTCGTGAGGAGGAGGAGGAGGAGGAGGAGGAGGAGGAGGAGGAGTAGGAGGGGGAAGGAGGAGGAGGAGGAGGAGGAGGAGTGCGCTGGCCAAGGAGGAGGAGGAGGAGGAGGAGGGGGGAGGAGGGGGGGGAGGAGGAGGAGGAGGAGGAGGGGAGGAGGAGGGGGAGGGGGGGAGGAGGGAGGGGGAGGAGGAGGAGTAGGAGGGGGAGGAGGAGGCGGAGAGCCGACGCCTCTCGCGGGGGGGACTCCCACGCCTGGCCCCCTTCGAGGGAGCGGGGGGGCGCGGGGGGGGGCGGGATGGCCAGGCGCGGCGCCCGCCGCCCTCGCGCAGTGGCCAACGACGTGGAGCCCAGGATCGGGTCGGGCGAAAGGGGGGAGAGCAAAGGGGGTGTTTGAGACTCAGCTCACGTAGCTGATTTTCCCGGCGCCTCCCGGCGCCAGAGGCGGCTATGTATCGAGGAATGGGCCCCTCGGTGAGGCCGAAACCAACTGCATGCAGCAAATTTCGTACCCCCCCCTTTCCCAATCCCCCCCTTTCGTCCGGCCCGACAGGACTGCAGGGCCCGCGCGGGGCGACGAGGGCGCGCGTCGGACTGGAGGAGCCCTCCTCGCCACCGCTCGGACGTCCATTCCCTGTGCTTTTCGCCAAATGATCAAGGATGCTCCTCGATGGTTCTCGTCACGAAAAAAATGGCACACGTCCGAGCGATGCCAGGCCTCGGGACTGGGCTCCGCGGGTCGGCCCCGCCAGGGAACTCGAGCTCCCGCGCGCAGATCTCGAGCTGCTGAGCCGCCATCTGCTTCGCCAGACGGTGCATGTCGGCGCCCTTCTGCTTTCGCGAGCTTCTGCTTGGCCGAGTCGAGCAGACTAGCTTCTCGTCCTCCGTCGTGCGGCGGAAGGCGATGCGCACGTTGCACGTCCGGCAGTCGGTGCAGGTGATGCGGGCCGGTCTTGCATGGAGGGCGAGAGGAACCTTGCCCACCACGTGCCGCACTGCCTGGGCCGCGTCAGCCGTCCGCAAGATCTTCAGGACCACCGATCTCAGGCGCATCTGGGCGGGCTCGGGGCGCAACTTCCCGGCGAGGAACACGCTCAGCTCGAGCGGACTCAGTGCCTCCTGGGCCATATAATCTCGTCTACCTGATCCTCGTCCGTCTCGGTGCCCAGCTTCTCCCGCGCACTACTGTGGTCGCTGGGCGAGTCGTCCAAGACCATCTCCAGGCGTCGGCCCGGGCTTGCCGACAGGCTCCTGGAAGAAGCCTTCCTGTCGATCCAGCAGGTCAAGAACTGGACTGGAGGCGCGAGAAGAGGGGCTGGTCTGAGCCGGACAGGGTGCGGATCCGTCGAAGCTTGGCCTGCTGCCCCCGACCTCAGGGATTCCCCGAGACGGCCTGGACTCGAGGGGCCCCGGAGGCTCAGAGAGGAAAGGGAAGTCCTCCGGAGCGGAAGCGTCGACGACCGGCAAGAAGCGCTGCTTGGGCACGGAGTTGCGCGCGTCCTCGGAGTTCTCGAAATGGATCGAGACGCAGAAGATGAGGCTGACCGCGCGCTGCCCAGAGGGGGGCGAGCACAGCGGCCAGACCACTCTCTCGCCAAGGTCGTCAACCTCCAAGGCACCAACCCTCGCGTCGATCACGGAGCCTAGAAGTAACGGAAGACAGGGATGAAGAAGGATCAGAAACTCAATGAACCCATAGCCCGCCAACACACTGGAACCCACGCGCGTCCAATCGGATCCGTCTCCCCGCCAGTGGCATCGGCGGTCTGTCCTGCCACTTTGCCGAGCTCCGCGTGCACATCAAAAGCCCTTCTGCTTGAAGGCCATCACCAGGATGTCCAGGCTAAAACAGGGCTAGGATCGGGATAAATCGCTCCAGAGCGTTCTGGAGCGCTCTAAGAGCGTTCCGGAACGCTCTGGAGCGGCCGCGGCGCCCAATACATCCTCCAAACCCGCCGACTCTCAGGGATTTCGAGTTATCCCGATCCGATTTTGTCCCGATCTTCGCGTCGTTTTACAGCCCCCCCTGGCCGATGAGGGCCTGCCCGGCCGCGGTGTCCACGAGCGCATATGGTCCTGAGCGTCGCGGACGGATCTATTGACGACCCCCGTCTGGCTCAGTATAAGGCTGGCCCACTGCTCGATCGTCCACGCCGCGAGGGCTCCTTTTCCTCGGTCGTTGGCTCCACCATGCCGAGGAAGGTCAGAGGCCGCTCGAAGCCAGGGTCTTCTCCACCGTCGGCGAAGCGGACGAAGGAGGGAGTGGACGAAGAGGGAAGCTCCGCCTTTCTTCGCCGCCTCCAGCCGCGGTCGAGCTTCGAGCGATGGGGCTGCTTGCGCGATTCGGCCCAGTGACCCTCCTCCCCTCAGTTTGCGAAGCGTGAGCGGCGCTGCAAGTCGCTGGATGTGATGCGGCGGTGACCGGGCTTGGTCGCCCTTTTCATGTCGAAGAAGTCTCCCTCGATGCACTTCGACGCCTTCAGCTTGCCGGCCTCTGCCCGCGTCTTGCGCTTTTCCTTGCCCAGCTTGTCCTCGATCGCCGCTGCTAACCCAGACCCCCGACGTCATGATTTTTTCATAACGTCGACCCCCAGAGGTCTCGACCCATTCCCTGGGACGGGCTTGTCGTCCTGAGTCGTTTTTTGACGGCCCCGAGGCCCGGTGAGGGCCCCCGGAGGCCGAAAATTATCCCAGTGCGACCCTACCTAGAAGTTGGAGCCCCTAGGAAAGCAGCATTAGTAGCAACAGTAAAGCTGAGCTAAAGCTAAAGCTAAGCTAAAGCTCAGCTGAAGCTAAGCTGAAGCTAAGCTAAAGCTAAAGCTAACGCTAAGCTAAAGCTAAGCTAAAGCTAAGCTAAGCTGAAGCTAAGCTGAAGCTAAGCTAAAGCTCAGCTAAAGCTAAGCTAAAGCTAAGCTAAAGCTGAGCTAAAGTTAAAGCTAAAGCTAAGCTAACGCTGTGCTAAATCTGAGCTCTAAAGCTAAAGCTAAAGCTAACGCTAAGCTACAGCTAAGCTAAAGCTAAGCTGAAGCTGAGCTGAAGCTAAGCTAAAGCTAAGTTAAAACTCGGCTAAGGCTAAGCTAACGCTAAGTTAACGTTACAGCTAAAGCTAAGCTAAAGCTAAGCTAAAGCTAAGCTAAAGCTAAGCTAAAGCTAAAGCTAAAGCTACAGCTCCCAAGGGACTGGGGGAACCGCGGGGCGGGGACTGGGGGAACCGCCCGGGGCGATTTCCATTGCCCGGCCCTTTAAGCTAAGAGAGTAAGAACCCTTCTAGGCAGAGCCTAGGTAGGGAATTAGGAAAAACCTCCCGTCATGTTTTTTTCATTACTCGAGGGGGTCTAGGAACGCCGCCATCAGCTCCTCCTCGGGAAGCTCCTGCCCTCCCAGCGCCGCGAGGAACGACTCGGCGTCGGCCTCTGGCAGCTCGAAGGAGTCGCCTGGTGGGCCTCGAAGTGCGGGCTCGCGCCGACGGGGGGGTCAGGAGGTGAGGCGCTTCTGCAGCGTTTTTGTTGTTGTTGTTGTTGTTGTTGTTGTTGTTGTTGTTGTTGTTGTTGTTGTTGTTGTTGTGGTTGTGGTTGTTGTTGTTGTTGTTGTTGTTGTTGTTGTTGTTGTTGTTGTTGTTGTTGTTTTTGTTGTTTTTTTGCTGTTTTTATTGTTGCTTGTTTTTTTCCCCCCAAAGAGAGCCCGTCCAGGGGCAAATCCGCTTCCCCTCAAGGGGGCTATACCCGTGCGGCAAGGCACGAAGGACTCCGCACCGATGGACGAAGGCGCACGCCCGACTAGATGTGAAACTACCTTACTTCTGCAGCGGCCTTCTGGGAGACCGTCTCTGTGAAACTCTTGGCAGAACCGCTCCCGGCCGGGGCGGCCGTCGGGACGGTGCCCTTCTCCTGGACGTCCAGCTTCAGGAACGCCTCTCGGATAGACCTGTGGTCCGTCGTTCCTCCCGCGAGGGTGCGCATGCTGATCTCGTTCTGTGCCGTCGAATCTGCGCCCTCCTCCAGAGAACGTGCCAGCGCGTGCGTTGTCCCGTAGCCCAAATCCGCGGATTCTGCATCTGCAACTTGTGCATCACGACGCAATCTGTAATCCGTGATCGATTCTCCTCTACGCAACGCGAAATCAAAAAGCGCTGCCGACTGGGCCTCTCGCTCCTTGTCGCCCGGCCGCTCCCCGTTGAGGATCGCCACGTGCTTCTCGAGCTTCGCATTGCCGTCCCAGCTGTCGAGGTTCTTCCAGATCGAGCGAGCCTTCTGCTGCACCTCCAAGGGTGAGCGCTCGAGCATTTTGCCAGCGCGATCTTTGGCTCGATGTCCGATTTGCGCGGGCCACGGACGAAAGTTGAGGCGGTAGCGCTCGAGATTGACAAAAACACGAGCCATAGCGGCGGGGCGCCGCAGTCCCTGCTTGGAGGTGCGCCAGACTGGCCCCGCTGCCGCTCCTCGCCGCTCCAGTCCTGGCTGCCTGCCAGGCCGCCGTCGCCCAAGCTGGAGCCACGGCCGCCGTCACTTTGAGGGCTCCCTTCCACCCGAGTCCAAACTGGGGTCGGGCGCCTCCATTCGCATCTCCGCTCCTCAGGGGGACCCCCTGATGCCGTCTGGGTTCAGATCATCCGTCGAGGTCTGCGTGGCACTGGAGGTTCTCAGTTGGGGGTTGACTGCTCGTCGTCGCGGCGTGGTCAACTTTACTCGTCGCCGTGTAATCCCCACCTGCAGCTTCTCACCTCCTATCTCCAGGCGCACCGCTTACCACTGTCTCATCATCGGACGGCATACGGGACTTAGGATGACGGAGACAGAGGCTGTTTGGGGAACGTACGGGCGAGAGCGTGTCCGCACACTCGCACGTCTAAGCCATAACAGCTACACAGGCGCGCTCAGGGAGGAGGGCGGAGGTACGAAGGGAAAGAAGGGGACCCCACGAAGACCTTCACAGGGAAGGTGGACAAGAGAACGAGAGAGAGAGAGAGAGACAGAGAGAGAAAGAGAAAGAGAACAACACATAGAGAAAGAGAGAGAGAGAGAGTGAGAGGGAGGGGGTGGGAGGGAGGGAGGGAGGGGAAGAGAGAGAGGGAGAGAGGGGGATAAAGAGAGAAAGAGAGAGAGAGAGAGAGAGAGAAAGGGGGGGAGAGAAAGAGGGATAGAGGAGGGAGGCGGGCGGGATGGGGCAGAATGGAGGAGGGAAGGTAGGAGGCCGAGTGGACGGGGAGGGAGGATGATCTTCCTCCCCCTCGACCCCCCAGGGAGGCGGACGAGGAGAACAAGGAAGACCACGACGTCGAAGCCACTCCCCGACGCCCCGAGGCCAGCGCTCTCTATCGCTCCGGGCCGGCGCCGCAGGGGGTGGGTCGGGGCCTTAGGACACGGCTCAAGCTGAAAGCAGAGGCCAACCTGCACCAGCTGCGCCAGGAGGAAAACCTGGGCTCCATCCCAGGGTCCATCCCCTGCCTCCTCCCTTCTCTCTCCCTCCTCTTCCCGTCTCCTCCCTCTCCTCCTGCCTCTTCCTCCTCTTTCTCCTCCCGCCTCCCCACCCTCTCCTGAACATTCTTGCCTCAACGTCCCCCCTCCTCCTCCTGACCTCTCTCCTCCTCTTCCTCCTCAGTCCCTCCCTTCCCCCCGCCTCCCTTTCCAGCACTCTCCCTTGCGAACCACTCACCTTCGTCGCACCGCCAGGCGTGTCGATCGGGAGGTCTACGCGTGTCGCCGAAGTTTCCCTCGCGGCCTCGAGTACTAACGGCTAACATTTCATGGATAGCGGGCCGTTTTCAATCTGTGTCTCTCGATTTTGCGCCGTGCACGCTCATTTCAAACATTTTGGTCACTCGCAGGGGTGGAGGGCGTTTTGTTGTTGTTGTTGTTGTTGTTGTTGTTGTTGGTGTGGCTCTCGCCTTAGCGTCGCGCGCATTCGTCTTTGAATCTTCCACACGCGTGGACGGGGAACGGTTTCCCAAATGTGGCTCTCGCCATAGCGATGTGCTCGTCGGCAGTAAAATGTACCACCGCGCACGGATGGGGAGCGACACCTTTCAAAAGGTGGCTCTCGCCCATAGCGCCGTGCAGACTGGTCTTGCCAATTTACGGCAATTTCACTGGATGAATGCGGTTCCTCTCAAAATCTGGCTCTCGTTCGTTACTTCTTTAAGCTCTGTGACCAGGAACCTGACCAAGTGACGCCGATGAAAGACGGATCCTGTTCAAACTGGGGCTCTCGCTTGCGACTTCCCTGGACGGCGGGGTGTACTGCAACATCGTTGGTGCATCCTGGGTCCTCCTCCTCCTCCCTCCTCCTCCTTCCTCTTCATCCTCGTCCTCCTCATCCACCCCTTCCTTACGGAGAACTGCTCACTGTCGCACCCCAAGGCGTGTCAGGAAGGCGGCCAGTCGTTTCGCCGGAGAACCCCTCACCGCTTGTGAAGATGAAGCTTGGGCTTTGCAACCGTTTCACGGATGTAAGGTGGGCCATTTTCAGAAAACGGTTATCGCCTCACCACCGCGCGCATTCGTCTTAACTGTGCGCAGCAATATCACGGTTGGAGGTCGGGTCATTTTCAAACTGTGGCTCTCGCCTTAAAGCCGCGCGCACTTGTTTTAAGAGTTTGCAGCGTTATCACGATGGAGGGCGGGTCCTTTTCACAATGTGGCTGTCGCCTTAGCACTGCGCGCATTCATGTCAAACAGTTGCACAAGAAGGATGGAGAGGGTTCTTTTTCAAAATGGGGCTCTCGTCTTAACGACGCGCACACTCGTCGTGGACGTTTGCAACAGCTTCGGTGTTGAAGTCCCAAGAACGGTGCTCTTGCGCGATTGAGGAGTGTGAGGACGCAACAGTCACATTGTTTCTAAAGATTGATGTCCCAAGAAATCCGTTCTTACGCGACTTAGGGTTGCCATGCCGCGCAATTGCGTTGATTCGCGGCGCGGAAAACCCAGGATTGTTTTCATGACACGGGTGCTAGTTCTCAGACGGTTGTCTTCTAATGGGACACTCCGCGAAGTGAAGACAAAATCTTGTAGGGACCTGCGATGAAGGAACTTTGAGAGAGGGTTTGTACCACATGTTGTTGATGTATCTTGGGTTTACACTGGTCCTCTTCTTCCTCCTCATCTTCCTCCTGCTCCTCATCCGCCTCATCCTCATCCTCCCTCCTCCTCCTCCTCCTCCTCCTCCTCCCTCCTCCTCCTCCTCATCCTCCCTCCTCCTCCTCCCTCCTCCTCCTCCTCCTCCTCCTCCTCTTCTTCCTCCTCCTTTTCTCCTCTCGCCCCCCTCATCATGCCCATCTCCATCCCTCGTCCGCCCCCCCTCACCCTTCCTCTCCCGCATCCCTCAGCCCCGTCCTCCTGCCACCCCACCTACGTGGCGCAGACATCACTGTCAAGCGTGGCTTTCGGTCCACGCAGCCAGAGGAAGGGGGAGGAGATGGACGAAGGATTGCGGTGATGATGGGGGGGCGAGGGGTCTCGCCCCCCATGATGTCTGATGGCTTCGCCACTTCCCCAGTGAACCCACCACATTCGCCGTACAGCCTGCTCCGCATCTGGCAAGCGGTGCCCTTGTTCTGCAGAGAGAAAACGACATACCACGACTGTCCGAAAACTGCCCGTAAACAAATCCCACACGCCCTCCGGGCGCATGTGGCTTATTAGGTTCATTCTTCCAGCCCCCTTCTTCCCCTTCTCTGAGGGGGTTTACCCCACTCCCTCCTCTGGGTCTGGAAGGGGGGGGAGGCGCCGCATTGGAGCATCCAAGCTGACCCATGATGGCGTCGGGCAGCCCAAGGTGAACTCCAAGATAACACGACGCGGCCCAAGACGGCTCGAGATGGCCTTCTAGACCACCCCAAGACGGATCCAGTCGGCCACTCAGCCTCCCAACGGCACCGCTGAGAGGCCACACTCAGTCAAACACCTAAGGGCTTCTGGGGCCTCAAGGTGGCCCCAAAATCACCTACGGGAGCCCCAAGAACGTGCCAAAACGACCCCAATACGGCCCCTTCCCAAGCGTGCTATAAACGGCTGGCCACCATGTTACCTGGCCCCGACGGAGCGCGGCAAATTTAAACCGCCTTGTTTTGCATACGCGAAGTCGCTGAAACCGCTGGGTTTGTTTACTTGTTTAGGTTTTTTGTTCGGAGGCATCCTTGGGATGCGTTTGGGCTACGATGGCTGCAAAGTGTTCCGAAGCATTCTCAGATGGTGCCCAATGTGGCACAACACAGCCACATATGGCTCAGCATCGCCGCCAACATACCTCCAAGAACTCACCCAAGTAGCTCTAGCTGGCCACGGAATCTCCGACGATCACTCCCGAGATGGCAAAGCCACTCAATAACGTAATGCGTTTCAATATGCTGATGCCGTCTCTCGCTTTTGCTCTCGATTGGCTTGATGCTTCACTACGGCTCCGATATCGTCCAAGAGAGCCCGACAAGGAGCCCGCCCACAAAAGAGTTCCAATCCAGTCGGGCCGCTGAGAGAAGGAACCCTACTGAAGGAACGAGGCCCCTTTCTGGCCCCCCCAAAGCGTCTGCGTGCACGAGGAGGGCTAGAGGAACAACCAAATAATGACCTGAGGAGCATCGAGCCGCTTTCATGCCGAAACTGTTCCTTATTGCGGCGTCTCGACTGTATGGCTCTGCGAGACGAGGTGCTGGGCTCCAACGAGGCGAGCCTACCTCATTACACTCTTTTTGATGGATGGCTTTCAACATGGCCTCGAGAAGGTTCCCCCGAGGCCCCGAAGAGAGCTCCACGAAAGCCCCGAACGCTTTCTAAATGCCCCCGAGGGGGCTTCAATATTGCCCCAACAACTCTTCAAGGAACTGCCAGACCGAAACATCCGCAAAGGCTTTTACGGTTGACGTCTGCCGTCGTCGTCGTCGTCGTCGTCGTCGTCGTCTTCGTCGCATTCTTCCTCCCCGCCCCCCATCCTTATGCACCTCTCCCTCTTCCTCGTCCTCTTCCTTTTCCTCCTACTCATATCCCTTTTCCCGCTCTTCCTCCTCCTCCTCCTCCACGTAGGTTTCCCCCTCCTGCTCATATTCTTCCTTCCAATTGAATGAGAGCCTCAAGGGCTCCCAACCGGGCCCAAAAAGAAAGACACCCAAGATGGCTCCAGGAGCCCTCTGAAGTCTCAAAGTTCCCAGCTGTGGCCTCTTTGTCTCGCTATATGCTTCTCTAATCCCCCTCTCCTGACAAGTCACGCGGGCATTGCTTCCAGATGGGCTGGTGGGGGCTTATTTGCGAGGCGTCAAGACCTGCAGATCGATCGGACCGCTTGGAACAAATGGCGGCAAACGTGAGCAACAGGAGGACGCGGCTCAAAGCTTCCCCCTTTCCGTTCGTGCTATCGTCTACCACCGCCGCCGCATCAAAAAACTCAAACTCGAACCAAACACACGGCCGACTCAACCTCCTCCTTTCCCGATGCAGAGGGGCCAACAAACATATCCTAACACTTTCTTGCACATCTCCGCGTAGCCGTTTGTCTGGAGCACCCGCTCGGCGATCCACATCTGGCCTGACCGGGGCGTGGAGGAGCTTGGAGAGGAACTGGGAGGGAGGGGGAAGCGTGGAAGTCAGATGCAGGAAAGCCCACGGCATCCCAGTCCTGCCTCTATACGCAGCGACGGGTGTCGCGTATGGAAGCTCCTCGTAAGAGAATGAGCCATGTATTCGCAAACATCGGATCGCTCCAACGACGGCGAGGTCCCGCTCTGATCTGCGTGTAAACGTCATTTTGCTGGACCCCTCCCTGCAACACCCGAAAGTGAGGACCCTCCGCAATTCGCAGTCCCCCAGCGACGGCGAGGCAAAATCTGAATCTGCGTAGGACGTCACTATGCTGGACCTCTCAGCATCCCTCGACAGTGGCAGCAATTTTGCAGTTCGCAACAACTCTCGCGACGACGAGGTCCCCCTCTGATATGCGTAAAACGTCACTCCGCTGGAAAACACCAGCAGCCCTCGAAAATGGCGACACTTTCACAGTTCGCACCCCGCTGGACCCCCCAAGCGGCCCTCAAAAGTCATCGGCGACAATTTCGCAATTTGCAGCCCCCCTAACGACGGCGAGGTCGAGTCCCGCTCTGATCCGCGTAAGACGTCATTCCGCTGGACCCAGAAACCCTTCGAAATCGACGACACTTTCGCAATTCGCGACCCTCCTTCGACAGCGAGTTCCCGCTCTGATCTGCGTAAGACGGCACTCCACAGGACCCCCCACAGCACTCGAAAGCGGCGACAGCTTTGCAATTCGCAGCCCCCCAACGACGGCGACGTCCCGCTCTGATCTGGGAACGACGTGGCAACACTTTTGAGTTTCGCAACTCGCGGTTCCCAAACGGCGGCGAGATCCCGCTCTGACCTGCGTAGGACGTCACTCCGCTGGACCCACCAGCAGCCCTCTAACGTGGCGGCAGTTTCGCAGCTCGCAGTCCCCAAGCGACGGCGAAGTTCTGCTCTGACTTGCGTACGACGCCACTATGCTGGACCCCCTCAGTGACCTTCGAAACTGGCGGCTGACTCGCAGTTCGCATTCCCCCAGCGACGGCGAGGTCCCGCTCTGACCTGCGTGAAAACGTCAATGCTGCTGGACCCCCCCTGCAGCACCCGCACGTGGCGACACTTTTGCAGTTCGCAGTCCCCTAGCGACGGCGAGGCCCAATGTGGATCTGCGTAGGACGTCAATCCACTGGACCCCCCATCATTCCTTGAAAGTGGCGCCGCTTTCGCAGTTCGCAGCCCCCCAACGACGGCGAGGTCCCGTTGTGACCTGCGTAACACGTGACCCCGCTTGCGCCCCCAGCAACTCTCGAAAGTGGCGACGCTTTCACAATTCGCAGCCCCCCAACGACGGCGAAGTCCTGCTCTGATCTGCGTACGACGTGACTCCTCTGGACCCACTGGCAGCACTCGAACGTGGCGGCAGTTTCACAGCTCGCAGTCCCCCTAGCGACGGCGAGGTTCTGCTCTGACTTGTGTGCTGGACCCCCTAAGCGACCTTCGAACCTGGCGGCTGATTCGCGATTTGCAGCCCCACCCGCGACCGCGAGGTCCCGCTTTGATCTGCGTAAGACGTCACTCCGCTGGACCCCCAGCAGCCTTCGAACATGACGGCAATTTCGCAATTCTCACCCATCCAGCGACGGCGAGGTCCCGCTCTGATCTGCGTAAGACCCCCAGGCATCCCCCCAAGAATGGCGACAATCGCGCAGTTCGCAAGCCCTCGGCGACGGTCCCGCTCTGATCTGCGTAGGACGTCACTCAGAGGGACACCTGGCAACAATTCTTTTCATGTGTTGATTTTCGCAGTTCGCAGCTTCCCAGCGACGGCGAAGTCCCGCTCTGATCTGCACAGGAATTTACTCAGCTGGACCCACCAGCAGCACTCGAACGTGGCGACAATGTCGCAGCTCGCAGTTCCCAAGCGACGGCGAGTTCCTGCTCTGATCTGCATAACACGTGACTTCGCTGAACACGTGGCAACCATTTTGAGTTTCGTAGTTTGCACCCCCCCCAGCGACGGCGAGGTCACGCTCTGATCTGCATAGGACGTCAAACCGTTGGACCCACCAGCGGCACTCCAACGCGGCGACAATTTCGCAACTCGCAAACCCCAAAGTTCCAGTCTGATTTGCAGAAGATTTCACTATGCTGGATCCCCTAAGCGACTCTTGAAAGTGATGACAATTTCGCAGCCCCCCAGCGACGGTGAGGTCCCGCTCTGACCTTCGTGACACGTCGCTCCGTTGGACCCACCGGCAGCACTCGAAAGTGGCGACAATCTCGCAGTTGGCAGCCCCCCAGCGACGGCGAGGTCCCGCTCTGATCTGCCTAAGACGTCACTCCGCTGGACTCCCCAGCAATCGTCGAACGTTGCCACAGTTCAGCAGTTCACAGCCCCCCAGGCGACGGCGAGGTTGCGTAGGACGGCGAGGTAAGTGGCAGGCTGGCAGGCAGGTGCAAGACGGGTATTAGGCAGGAAAGGAAAGGAGGGAAGAGAGGAGGGAGGCGGGAGGAGAACGGGGTCGCGACCGCAGTGCTCTATTCAGAGCATGTCGGGCCATGCTCGTGAGCCCCGCGAGCACATTGTGCACGCGACGGCGGGGGTGCCAGCAGATTGCCTGCCGTGCGCAGGGCCACCACTCGTGTCAAACAAATCTGGATCATGCGCGGCCAACCCGCGATCACTGTCCATCGGTTTTTGACAGGGACGGTGGGGGTGCTGGCATATTACCTGCTGTTTGGAGGCCCATCAGACATCACGATGGCCGCCCCGCCGCGATTGCGCACTGGTTTTCGACAAGGATGGTGGGGGCCGACATGCTTCCCAATGTGTGCTGTGTGCGCGGGCCCCGAACGTGTCGCACCTGGCGCGGCTGGAGAATGCGGCACACATGGACCACGTGGCGCATCCGGCGAACCAGGCGTGCGTGCCTAGCACGCTCAGGCCCCAGATTTGCCCGGTGCACCTGGCGCGCGTTGCGCGCCTGGCACGCGTGGCGCACCTCGCCCCAGCGTCGCGCCTGTTTCGGTTCCCAGTAGCTGTCCATCCAAAGACGACCGCTGAAGCTCGGTTGCGCTCCCGTGTTGGAAGGGCGGGTGGGAGTGAGCGAGACTGCTTGCGGGTGCGGAGGGAAGCTAGATCACTTTCCCCTACTGATAAACACCCCCTCCCCCATCCGGACGGCAGCCAACCGGGACCCATTAGGGCACCCATGACAACATCCCCCAACCATCCCTGTCAAATACAAATGCAACATAGCCTGGCGATGACCAAACCATACGCAGTTGTGATTAACGCGGTTGTGAACATCGTCTTCGGTGGGGATCCCCACGGGGCCGGGGGGACGTGCGAGGGGTGTGCCGAAATGCGGGGGAGGGGGGGCCGCATGTGAGGAGACCTTCGGTGGAGCTTCCTATGGGGCCACGAAGCGTGTGAGTGGTGTGCCGACATGGGTGCGGGGACCGCATACGAGCACTGCCACTGGGGCCTTCGGTGGAGCTCCCTTTGTAGCCACGAAGCGTGTGAGGGGAGTGCCGAAATTTGTGCGGGGACCGCATGTGAGCATTGCCACAGTGACCTTCGGTGGAGCTCCCTATGGGTCACTGAACGTGTGAAGTGTGTGCCGACATGGGTGCGGGGACCGCATGCGAGCGCTGCCGCTGGGGCCTCCGGTGGAACTCCCCATGGGGCCACGAAACGTGTGATGGGTGAGCCGATATGGGTGCGGGGACCGCGTGCGAGCACTGCCACTGGGGCTTTCTGGGTGTTCCCTATGGGGCCACGAAACGTGTGAGTGGTGTGCCGAAATGAGTGCGGGGATCGCGTATGAGCACTACCACCGGGGCCTTCGGTGGAGCTCCCTATGGGGCCACGAAACATGTGATCGGTGTGCCGAAATGGGTATGTGGAGGGCAGAGGCAAGGATGGGAGGAGGGAGGAGGGGGAGGACCAAGAAGCGCTCAAGAGGCATCCGAAGAGCTTCCAAGAGGTATCTGCTCGAATCGTCGAGGAGTCTCCTGCCTCGGAGCCGTGGCGACGGACGCCGGGCTCCAGGCTGAGCCGCACGAGGGAGGAGCCCCGAAGGCGGGGGGCGCTCTGGATGCCGCTGGGCGCCTTCGCCGAGCAGTCGGGGCGCGGCGACCGTCTTGGACAGCTGCTTCCTCTCCCTGCTGCTCAGGCCCGCGTGGACCTGGCGCGCCGAAGGCCGCGGGGCGCCTCCCACCTGCCCGAGGCGCTGCAATAGAGGGCAGGACGTCCATCCCCGGACTGATCACCCTGACAAGCGAAGCCGTTCAGTCAGCGCACCCAGGGACGGACTCGAACAGGGCAGGGCTGTCTAGTAAACGCCCAGGGCCGTTTAGTACACGTCAATTGTCGGGTCCGGTGTTCTTCCTCCCCTGATGCTGCCACGGCGCAGTGTTCCCAACACGGTGTGTTGCGCTCGACTCGGGGCTGGCAGCAGCGTGCGCTCTCCGAGGAACTGGTCCCCTTGTGGCAGAGTTCCAGCCTCGCCGCATTAGGGCCAAGCGCCTGGGGCTCCACAGTCCTACGATTAGAAGAACAAAGCACGGCATAAACATAAACTTTTGGCGCTCCGCGCGGAGCGTTTCGATGCGTTTTGCTTTGCGCATCGTTGCATTCCTTTGTGGGTCATTGCATGTCCTTTGCAATGCATTGCAATGCTCTGCACTTGCTTCTCGTTGCATTGCATGGCATTGCAAGGCGAAATGCTACACTTGCAATGGAACGCACTGCGCCGGCCTTCCAACGCACAACAACACTCTTAAATCATCAAGTTCAGAATTGCACACAGCAGGGCGAAAAGGAACGAGGCAACCCCCATTGTGTGCAACTTACACCTCAACAGGCATACTCCGAAGTTCTTGATACGCGTCGGGGGGGCGTCACCCCCGCCGACAGCCCCACATCGACCCCCGTCGCGGGCAGCCACCGCGCGCCGAAGGCGCTCCGACCCGGCGCGACGACGAGGCGAAGCTGCCCCCCAGCGCTGCACGAGACGACACCCGGCGACTCGGCATCGACGTGCGGGTGCACGGCACGGCACGCGCACGGCACGGCACGCGGGCCGGCAGAGCTCTGCCCGCGGATCACGAGGCAGGGCACGGCATGGCACGCGGGCGCGGCACGGCAGGCGCACCGCACGGCCAGCGGGCGGCTCACACTTCGCGCGTCGTAGCATGCGGGCACGGCACCGCACGTGGGCGCGGGACGGCGTGCGGGCACAGCAAGGCGCCACTTCCGCATGCCAGGGCGTGGGCACGGAGCGGCACGCGGGCCCAGCCCAGCAATTCAGTGAGACCGAAGCAAATCGATGCCGTACGCTGCGCTGCAGTTGCAGTTCTTCGCGTCGTGCGAGGATTGACCTGGCGAAGGGCCCAACCAGATTCAGCTGTGAATGCCGTCGTTGTGAGCATCGCCTTCGGTGGAGCTCAAATTTGGGCCCACGCGCTGTGCGAGGGATGAGCCAACATACGCGTCGGGCGCACGCGGGCCCTGCCGCTGGGGCCTTCGTTGTGGATTCCCTATGGGGCCACGAGCCGTGTGAAGGGTGCGCTAAAATGGGCGTCGGGCGCATGTGGGCCCTGCCACCGTTTTTTTTGTTTATTGTTTTTTTTGGGGGGGGGTATATATATATATGTGTATAACACAACTCCCGCGCGGCGCACGCTGCGCGCACGGCTCGCGACCGCGCTGCAAGGCGGCCCCTCTGGGGCCGCCGCTCGGGCGCCCAAAACGGCGCGCCCGCCCACGCCCTCGCCAACATGGCACGGAGGGCCCGCAGGACCACGCGAGGGCGCCGATCAAGAGGAAGTGAGGCGCCTGTGTGGTCGACCCGACCTCAGGTCCAGGCCAGCGCGAATCAGCTCGACCGTCTTGATCCTGGCCAAAATGGCACGGAGGGCGCCGATCAAGAGGAAGTGAGGCGCCTGTGCGGTCGACCCGACTTCAGGTCCAGGCCGGCGCGGATCAGCTCGACCTTCTTGATCCTGGCCCTGAGCGCTTCGCCGTCCACGGTCTTGCACTCGCCGCCGAGCATCCAGTGCTTGTCCCCGACCTCCCGCGCGTAGCGGTGGCACCGCTTGCACACTCTGTGGCCGCTGACAGGCATCAGGTCGTGCTCGGTCGCCTCGCCCCGGGCGCCAGATCCCGAGGCCGCTCCCTCCGAGGGCCCCGAGGCAGGGAAGGACAGAAACACCTGCCTGGCATCTCCTGGGTCGCGCGGCTCCTCCTCAATATCGCCGTCTGAGCCCTCGGCCTCCGGCCTGCTGGCCGCTGCCAAGGCCGCGGCGACCGCGCCCGCTGCAGGCGTAGCTGAAGCGGGGCGCTTCCGCTGTGCCCCGCTGGCGTCAGGGGCGAACGCCTTCTCGTTGCTGGCGTGGCCGTGGAGCTTCTTGATGCCTTTGGCGCCGCAGGCCGAGCGCAAGCACCTGACGCAATGCGCGCAACTGTTCGCGATGTGGATCGTCGCGTAATGCGTGAGCGAAAGGGGCGGACCCTTCCTGCACTCCTTGTAGCTGTCGTTGAAGTCCAGGCGAAGCTGTGCTGCCCCCCCCCGCCGAGCCGAGCCAAAAAGCGACCCCGTCGAGCGTGGGGGCCCTTATCTTCCTTGCCGTCCTGACGTCGGTCGAGAAAGGAACGCATTCGCCGCGAACTTGGCGCACCTGTCAGCTTCCATGTTGCCCCTCCTGTCCCGCCTTGTGATCTTTCCCTCCAAAACGTCCTTCATCGTAGCGCGGCCCTTGACCATCTTGATGGTGAGGCCCTGCTCGCCGATCCCGCCGAAGTCGTCGAGAGCCGCCGGCGCCCTGCGCCGCGCCGCCCCCCGTGCACAAGTGGCGGTGGTGGCAGCTTCCCGACCGCGCTCGAGCAATCCATTTGCGACGTTAGGCGCGGCGAACGAGGCCTTGATCGGTGGCAGGGGGTTTTTGAGCAGCATCAGAAGCCCCAACAGCTCGGCCTCGTCTATCGACTGCATAGGCCCAGGAAATGGGGCCCCCAGCGCCTTGACCGCAGAGCCTGCGCCAAGGTCCTCCTCTTCGCCCCCTGGCGGTAGCTGAGCCACCGCGCTTGCCTAAATGGCGAGCGAGTGCCCCGCCTCAAACAGGGCGCCGTCGGCGATCAGCTCAGTGTTGGCGAACAGCGCCCCGTCGTCGTCGTCCTTGACCCACCGGGCGTGCGCCGGCAGGTCGTGGCCAGGGGGTCTCCAGGAATGAAAGGGCTCAGGAACGAGGAATCTCTCCGCCGGGGTCCTGACCGTGATGCTGCTGTGGAACGCCGAGAGCTTCGCAATCTCCGCAGGAAGTCCATGGCTCGACCAGCTCTGCTGGCACTCGATGTGCCTGTGCCAGAGCGTGCCAGGAATGGTGGGGTGCAGCTGGCAGCGCGGCGTGGCCGCCAGCCTAGGGGAACGCGTAATACTTCCTGTCGTTGACCCACTGCCCCTGCGCCACCACCGACCTCGAGTAGCTCCGCTCGGCGTAGGATAGGCCCTTCCAAATGCCGTCGTTGATCCAACGCCTCATGTGCGGGACGAAGGCCCCCTGGACTAGGTCGTTGTGCGTGTTGGTGGCGAGCTGCTGCGGCTGCCAAATCCTGACGTCCATGATGGGGACCTTCTACCTTCTTGAAGTACCAGGGCGAAAGCTCTAGCAGGTTGGGCTTCTCGCCGTCGGGCCTGATCAGCTCGCGCATGCCTGCCGCCTGGTGCCCGACTCGCCTCTGCGAGGGTACCGCAGCACCAAGCGGGCCTTGACTTTCTCCCATTTCGTGGTGGCGTTGGCCGCCCAGTCGAACGTGGCCGCCAGCTGCCCCGCAGGGATCCAGTTCTCCCGCGGCGCCCTGGCGAGGCTGAAGCACGGCCCCAACGTGGCCGCAAAGATCGGGCCGATCGTGTCCGAGCCTCCTACCATAAGGCAGGCTGTGAGCGACTTGCCCTGCGGCCTCGGCTCAATGGCTTGCCTGACCACGGTGCGCGAGTGCCTGGGCTCCGTGTCGTTGAGCCCCGTGCAGTTGGCCCCGTGGAAGAGGCTAGGCACTAGCCCCCTCGAGGCAATCTTCGCAGCGACCGCTCGGCCCCAGCTAAGCCCGAGGAGCCTCTGCATGCGCGGAAGCCTGAGCTTGTTCTGCGCGATCCGCATCAATCGCATGGCGCTCTTCCTGTTGCCGCCCTCGGCGTGGTCCACTCCCAAGTTCCTGACCTGTGCGACGCGCTCGTAGCGCTGCCCAGGAATTTCTGCAGCTTGTCCCTGCACGCCTTGTTGCTTGCGAGGGCTCTCGGCTTCTTGGATGCTATCTTGAGCCTGACCTTGGAGAGGTTGCGCACGACTGACTTGGCCGCTTTGCGGGGGCCATTGGCTACTCGCTCGACTCCCCCCCAGCGCTGACGGGCCAAATCGTCGACTACCACTGCCGCCACTACCGTCTGGTTCTGCGCCGCCATCAGGTCGAGCGGCGTGCGCGGCATCACCTCCATGAAGGTAGTCGCAAACGCGTCACGCGTTCCCCGCCAACACCGTCTGCAAGATAACCATCTCGTCCGAGCAGCACGACTCAAGGCTGACGACCCGCGGCAACCTGTAGAGCGACGCCTGCAACTTTGCCAGCCAGAGCGGGAAGTCGTGTCGCTTGCAGGCGTCCATCAGGTGCTGGTGCAGAATCTGCTCGAAGGCCTTCCATTAGGCCATGAGGTCGGACGCGGGCGCCCAATCTTGGTTGTCGTGGGCGGCCGCCAGCATCTGCACCCGCTCGGCCCGTGCTTGCTGCTGCCAGGCCGCTCTGTCGCAACTTTTCCCAGAACTCGCCCGCCAATGCGGCCTGTCGTGGTCTCGCCCCCGCTGCCTCGCAATCGGCCTGCGAAGCCTGCCGTGGGTGCGGGCGACGGCCCCAAGCAGCGCGATGGGGCGGAGGCCCCCGTCGGTCTTCGGAATGATGGCGAGCTTGGTGATGGAAGACGGCCCGTCGCAGCGCTCCTCGATGGCCACCGGGGGGTCGATCAGCGCCTCGAGCCCATCATCGCGCAGCAGCCCGAGCTCTCGAGGCCTGAGCGAGTCGATGGGCGAGCCCGAGATCTCCTTGAACGAGGCAATGATCTCCCTGACCTCGCTCGCCGCGGGCCGAGGCGGCCGCCCCCCGTGGTTGTCGGGCCAGGGCAAGTTGACCGCGCCCAGTTTGTCGCCCGACGGCTTGGAGGCACCCGCCATCCAGTGAACTCACCGCTCCTTCACCGGGGCTTCCGCTGTCTCTGGGGGCGTCGCTGGCCCCCGCTCGCAGCCCGCTGGCCGTGGCTTCCAGGCCCGGGGAGGTTTGGTCAGGGAGTGAAGGCCCCCCGAGCCTTTCACGTGGTTCTCGATGGCCCGCTCGTTGAGGCCGCCCCTGCTGCTGTCGACGTCACGCTAGACCATCTTATCGGCCATGGTCCCCGCCGCGTAGCTGACCGCCTGCAGTTCGTTGATGTCCATGAACTCAGCAGCTCGCGCGAGGCCTCGCTGGATGATGTTGGCCTGGTGCGCCTCCTGCCGCACATCGTGGGATGTCTCTGGCTGTCTGTCGCGCAGCTTCTTCGGGGCGCCCAAAGCTCGGGGCCGCCGCGGGGGGGGGGGGGGGGGGTCGACCTGGCCAGCGTCCTTCGGCGCAGTGGCGATGCTCTTCAGCCATGACGTCCCAGGCGCGAGCCTTGGGAGCTTCGGCGGCGTAAGCTTGAGCACCGTCGCCGTGGTCGGCCTGGGCCTGGAAGCCCTGCCCGCGTAGTGGTCGTAGTCGTGCTTGAGCCCGACCGCGCCGAGGATGTTCCACTCTGCGTTGTAGATGAAGACCTTCCACTTGCCGTCGGGCGTGGTGGCCTCCGCGATGTCCCCGCGCGCCGTGGCCCACGCGTCGCTGTGGCCCTCGCTGCGGCATGCCCGGGGCAAAGGCAAGGGGGGCTTCTCCGGGCAGCGCGTGAGCTGCATTTTCTTGGCCACGGATCTGGCTCTGAAGCGCAGGCGCGCAAGGAAGTGAGGAAACAAGTCCCAGCCGCGCAGCGCCTCGGCCAATGCTTCCCCCATGCAATGGGAGACCGCGGAGTAGTCGACGATGCGGCCCGCCCGAAAGCCTGATGGCCCCTTCGCGCGGCGAGACCGCCTTCCCAGCCGCGCTGTCCAGGGCGCCCGCGCAGGCCAGCTCGTGCTGCTCCATGTTGAACTCCCCCGCGATCACCAAGGGCTTGCGCAGTGCACGCACGGTGCCCGCGATCTTGTCGAGGGTGCTCAGGTTGAACTCGGAGTGGCCCATGTTGACCTTGGGGTGCACGTTGAGCCAGGCTGGCCCGCCAGGGAAGGGTCCAGCCACGCGCGCGAAACCCGCGCGCCCAAGTGCAAGAGCATGGTCCTGCCCAATCTCGAAGACGTTTCGGCCGCTCCACCTAGACGCCAGCTGTGGCAACCCTCCGTGGCCAGCGTGGCCAACGGAGACGTGGGCGCCAGGAGCTGCATGCGCGTGCCATCCTGAGCGAACCAGCTTGTCCGCGACCTCGTCGCACTTGTCGGCCGGGAAGCGTGTCTCTTGCACCTCTGCGAGATCGCTGCCGCGCGCGGTGTCGTAGTCCAACGTGCCCTCGAACCTGCTGTAGGCATTGGCGTTGATGGTGAGGGCCGTCCACCAACGCCTGGAGCCGCGACCACCCTCCGGCGGCCCCTGGCTTCTTCGCAGCCCGAAGGGCGTCGCGGGCCTCGCGCGCTCTCTTGCGCTCATCGTCGTCGCCGCAGCCATCGAGAATGCCGCCAGGATTGTTCTCGGCCATGAGCGCGTCCAAAGCAGCGGCCTCTGCGCCTGCTGTGTCTTGCTGTTCGGGTGCTCCTCTTCCTCCTGCTTCTCCAGGCCCGGGAGCGGCCTCCGCGGGCTGGGGCTGCTCTGGAGCTGCCGTTGGGACCTTGGGCTGCTTAGCCTCCTCGGCGAGCTCATTGACCATGGCCGCGGGCTGCTGCAGGGGGTCGGCGCCCCAGACTCCGTCGGTGTTGAGCGTCTTGAGCTTGTCCTTGATCGTGTCGGGGCCGATGCCGCCCTGGACGCCGCGCAGCGCCGCGGCCTCGCGTTTTGTCTCCGCGAGCTCAGCCTCGAGCGCCGCGATGTCCGCGTGTGACTTATGCACCATCCCCAGAGCTTTGTGAGCGTTGTCCTGGTCGCGCTGAAGCCGAGCACGTGCGTCGCCCAGCTGCCGGGCCACTGCGCCCACCCGCGGCGGCGCTGCCTGTCCAACCAGTCCAGCAGCAGCAACGCGACGAGCATTCTCCACTTTGCTGCGGGGTCCTTGACTGAGAGTGAGCATGGTTGCCTCCCGCGTCGCATCGTCGATGGCAGCCCAGGTCATGACCATCTCGGGCGTGGGAATGGTGCCAGCTCCTCCCTTGCGGTGCTTGGGATCTCAGCCATTGCCGTAGCCGTTGTTGCCGCCCTTGAGGTCGCTGAACGTCTTACCATGCTGCCCCCATTGACCGCGATGGGGTCCATCAGCCCACTGTTCTCGAAAGGGAGGTGCTCGCTGCTCCCAGGGCTGGCGAATTACCCGAAGTCGAGCGCCAACGCGCCCGGCTTTCGAGCACCTGAGACGGGCTGCGGGATGCAGCTCTCCACCTACGCATTTCCACTGAGTCGCCATGGCCGAAACACACGCAGGGTTACAGCTGCTAGCAAACCTCCGCGCGGGCCGTCGAGAGCTTGGAAGTTTGGCCTGGAGGGTGAGCAGCCCACAAAGTCCATCTTGAGTCCAACTGGATGCTATGGAGCCATTGGGGCCTTCGTTGGGGTTCCTTTTGGGGCCACAAGCCGTGAGGTGTGTGTGTGTGTGTGTGTGTATGTGTGTGTGTGTGTGCCACGTTGGTCGTCGGGCGCATGCGGACCTTGCCACTTGGGCCTTCGGTGGAACTCGGGGCCACGACTCGTGAAGGGTGTGCTAAAATGAGCGTCGGGCGCATGCGCACCCTGCCGCTGGGGCATTCGGTGGAGCTCCCTATGGGACCACGAACCGCGTGAGGGGAACGCCAAAATTGGCGTCGGGCGCATGCGGGCCCTGCCACTGGGCTTTTGGTGGACCTCCCTATGGGGCCACGAACAATATGAATGGTGTGCCACATTGTACGTCGGGTGCATGCGGGCCCTGTCACTGGGGCCTTCGGTGGAGCTCCCGATGGGGCCATGAACCGTGAGAGAGGTGTGCCAAAATATACGTCGGACGTGTGCGAACCTTCCACAAGGGCCTGCGGCGGAACTCCCTCTGGGGCCACGAACCGTGTGACGGGTTGACGACGATGGTGACGATGCTAACGGTCATGGCGGCACGCGGAGAGCAGAGGCAGGAATGGGAGGAGGGAGGGGAGAGGAGTGGAGAGGAGGGAAGGATGAGGGGACGCGGGGCGCTCTCTTCTAAGCGGGGACCCAACACCACAGGATGGTTGGGAAACACGTGGCAACGCGAGACAATGCACTTTCACATGAACCAGCGCAAAGCCGCAGCCTGCAATGCCGTGCTTCTATTGTGAGCTTGGTTTGGGCGTGTTTAAACTGCTTCAGCTTGTCGCCAATTCGCCGACCCCTGGCCCCTCTCGAGGGAGCGCAGTCCAGCTGGCTTGCAGGGGCGGATGTGGCCCGAGGGTGCAAGGGGGTGCTGGGCGGTGCTGGACGTCCCAGAGCGTTAGCAGGAAGGCCCCACATGGTTCCAGATGGTCTCCAATTCCACGCAAGAGGATCACGCTTCGCTCAGAATGCCATGTGTCTTGCGTCCAAGAGGCTCCCAGACTGCCCCAAAGCGACCCGAGGTGGCCATGAAACTCCTCAGTACTGCTCCCGACAGGTCTGCGTTGCTCAAACACAAAGGGGTTTTGCAACTCACTTTTGCTTCTCAAGATATTCTGAATTATATGCCTTCGTCAGCGCTTCAGGCGGCCCCAAGACCCAAGACGGCCGCAGAGCCCTCGAAGACGGTCCAAGGAGCCCGCACTGGGGCCACACCACGGCCCAAGGCCGTTTGAGAGGCCCAAGAGAGCCCAAGAGGGCGCCACGACGGCAACCAAGACGGCCCAAGAAGCCCAATGGTGGCCCCCGGGACCCCCCACGCCATCGCGCGCTACGGGGGCCTCGCAGGCGAACTCCACCAGCTCGCGCATGGGCGGACCGTTCGAGGGCCTCGGTACTCTCCCTGTCCCGTGCTGCTGCTTCTGCGCCTGCCCTGTCCGCCGGCGCCGTGGTCGTCGTCCGCCTCCTCCGCCTCCCTCCCTATTCCTGCTAAAGGTCGGCGGCGAGCCCGGGGCGAGGTGAGAAGGAGACCACCTTCTCAGAAGGCCCGAGAGATTTCCTGTGCCTTCCCCGGAGACAAGGACAACATCTCAGCAGGAGGCCAGAGGGCTTCTGGGAAGCCCCGCCGCCTTCTGAGGAGGCCTTCTCCTTCTCACTTCCTCCCCCCTCGCCCGCCGCCGACCGGGAACCCTTCCCTGTCGCGCCCCCAGGCGTGCCTGCAGAGCAAGCCACGGGGCGGGCGCCAGGCCACGGGGCAAGCGCTTCGCCCGAGAAGTCCTTACCCTTTGCGGCAGCAGCCACGGTAAGTTCGTGCGGCGTCGGCGCGCGCAGAGGCTGCTGACGCCACGTCGATTGTTCAACCTTTGAGCATCGTTTCGCTGATCCCCATCCCCAGCGGCGTGGCCTCGGCCCCACTGGCCGATTTACCCCCCTAGATGGGGATATAGGCCATTCCCTTCGGGCCTCGAGGGGTGCATCCCCAACTGGGGGGTAATTTGGTGGGGTTCTCGAAGGGGATGGGGATGGGGGTGGGGGTCGGTTAAACGATACTGAACCTTGAATCGATCGCGGCCCCGACCGGTCAAGGTTGAGCTCAGTCGGGGCCAGTGGCGTCAGCGCGTCCCTCGGTGCTTGCGGGTCGCAGATTTCAACCTTGAACGCCTTCGCCGGCGTCGCCGGCGCGCCAACGCCGCACGAACCTGGCGTGCTCGCATGGAGAAGGGGGGGGTCGTTTCCAAACTGGAGCTCCCGCCTTAGCGCCGCGCGCACTCGTCCTCACAACACTGCAAGGGGCTGCATGGATGGATGGCGCGATATATTTTATTGTATAAAAAAGCGGATCGAGGAAGGAGGAAGAGGAGGAGGAGGAGGAGGGAGGAGGAGGGAGGGGGGAGGAGGAGAGGGAGGAGGAGGAGGAGGAGGAGGAGGAGGAGGAGGAGGAGGAGGAGGAGGAGGAGGGGAGGAGGAGGAGGAGGAGGAGGAGGAGGAGGAGGAGGAGGAGGAGGAGGAGGAGGAGGAGGAGGAGGAGGAGAGGGAGGGAGGGAGGGAGGGAGGGAGGGAGGAGGGAGGAGGAGGGGGGAGGGAGAGGGAGGAGGAGGGGGAGGAGGGAGGAGGAGGAGGAGGAGGGTGGAGGCGGAGGGAGGAGGGAGGAGGAGGGGAGGAGGGAGGAGGGAGGAGGGAGGAGGAGGAGGAGGAGGAGGGAGGAGGAGGGGAGGAGGAGGGAGGAGGAGTGGAGGGAGGAGGGAGGAGGGAGGAGGGAGGAGGAGGAGAGGGAGGAGGGAGGAGGGAGGAGGAGGGAGGAGGAGGGAGGAGGGAGGAGGGAGGAGGGAGGGAGGAGGAGGAAGGAGGAGGAGGAGGAGGAGGAGGAGGAGGAGAGAGGAGGGAGGAGCAGGAGGAGGAGGAGGAGGAGGAGGAGGAGGAGGAGGAGGAGGAGGAGGAGGAGGAGGAAGGATGCCACCTCAGCGCCGCGCACCTTCGTCGCCCAAGATTGCAGCAACTATAAACGAATGGAGAGCACACACGGCTTCCGGAGTGGAGCCCTCGCCTGGGCGCCGCGCACACTTTCGCCTCACAGGTTAGCAGCAGCTACGCGTACGGAGGGGGGGGGGCGTTCTCAAAGTGGCGCTCTCGCCTGGGCTCCGCGCACATTCCTTTGTAATGCTCGCAACACCTGCAAGGATGGAGGCGGGTTCCTTTCCAGGGTGGAGCTCTCGCAATAGCGCCGCGTGCAGTCGTCTTGAGCGTTCACAGCAATCATTGGACTGGGGGACGGTTCCTCTCCAACATGGGGCTCTCACTACATGCCACTGCACCTACGTGATTGTCAGGAGTTCCAACACACATAACAGCTGCACGGATGGATGGCGGTTTCCTTTCAACATGGGGCTCTCGCCTGTGGCTTCCTCGGAGGAGCTCGTGCGTGACCAGAACCACAAACTTGGGCAACGGTTGCACAGATGAGGCGGCCCTTATTCGAAACGGGGACCTCTCTGGACACCTCTTTGAGCTGCTGGATCACACGTGCTCGATGTCTTTACTGTACGCTAGAAAGGTGCCAGGCAGTTCCCTCTCAAAGCGGAGCTCACGCCTGACTGGTAGACCCACGGAGTGCTGATCTCTGAAGGGGGCGCATCTTTTGGTGAGGAGGACGGCTTGTGGAGGCTTCGGAGGAAGGGGGGGGGGCTTGGGACGGGCGGGTGTATTGCAGCATCGTTGATACATCTTGCGTTTACTCTGGTCCTCCTCCTCCTCCTCCTCCCCCTCTTCTTCATCCTGCCCCTCCACCTCTACCCTCAACTCCCTCCTTGTCCCCCCCCTCGTTCTCCTTCTCCTCCTCCTCTTCCTTTCTCCTCCTCGTCCTACTCACCCTTCCCCTCCTCCGCCAATGTGCAACCTACGAGCTGCTGGCCCAGAGGCGTTAGGCGCGATACCCTGCGGACACAGCTGCCTGGGTGGCCTCCTGTATCAACGACTGCTGATCGTGCAATTCCAGGTCGTAAAAGCCGCCCCCAGCCATGACCTAGATATGGAGCAAGAGCGCGCCGAAAAATGAACGGTATGTGAAAAAAGGCGAGCCAGGTGGCAGAAGGAGAGCGAATAAGATAGGATGCGAACTCAGTCGAACCATTCCTCTAAAGATAGCCTCCGAAACTGCCAGCAGACTCTTGAACACAAACACAAGAAACCGCTCGACGGCTCCCAATGCGCTCCCACGAGCCCCCAGGGGCCCTCAATAACAGGCCTCACAATAGGACCCCCCCAACGAGCCTCTAAGAAGCCGCTACCTTCCTGGGGCCCTCCCCTGGATCCCCCTTCAAAGTCGGCGGAGCTGGCCGTAAGGCCTCTCCACCAAATATATAGTACGAGCTCAGTCGAATTGCTTTCAGTGGGGCAACGTACGAGCCACAGGCGCATCGCTGCCCAACACATGATCCTACAAGTATGCGCCTGCCCCTCTTCAGCTATGTCTGCATCGTTACCGCCCCAATATCAATATTCACCGATGTCAACAGATTCAGCACTGCCTCTGTGTGTGGCTGCGCTGTCTTTTCACATTCCCGTGCGCCGCTATCTTGGTGTCGCGCACATGCAAAACATTCACTCATACGTACGCGCGCTCTTTTGCATGATTACAAGCCAGTGTGTGTGTAATAATGTGGAACAATACAGGACACACAATCAGTACATCAATCAATCACAGACGCTCGCGCAAATGTGGCGACGTATGGGGAGCACCACAGCATGCGGTGCAATCATGGGCAGTGCAAGCCTTGCGTCGCAGTCGGTGACCGTATATGCAGGAGGAGGGTAGATGCTACACAAAGGAATGATGGAGGACGGATGAGCGTACTCTGGATCATGGTAACAATGATGATGACACTGGTGATACTACTGATGATGCTGATGATTATTATTATGATGGTGATACTAATGCTGATGATGCGGATGATGCTGATGATGCTGATCTCCTCCTCCTCCTCCTCCTCCCCTCCTTGTCCTCCTCATCGTCATCATCATCAGCATCATCACCAGGATCATCAACATTATCATCAGCATCATCATCGCCATCATAATCACCACCAGCGACAACAGCATCAACCTCATCATCAACACCACCACCACCATCATCACCATCGCCATTATCATCAACAACATCATCATCACCACCACCACCATCATCATCATCAACACCACCACCACCATCATCATCATCGCCAATATCATCAACAACAGCATCGTCCTCCTCCTCATCATCACATCATCATCATCAACCTCCTCCTCCTCCGCCTCCCCCTCCAATACTGCCTCCAATTGGCCACGGCCCGGAAGGCCCCCGCCCCCGCCGCGTACTACCCCGAGGGAACGGAGATGGCGCGCCTTGAGAACGTTGGCGAGCATCGGCGGCATGCTCAGGTTGTCCCTCGTCGCGCAGAGAACGACCAGGAAACTGATGATGCTGCTGCTGATGGTGGTGATGATGATGAAGGTGATGACGATGATGCTCATGATGCTCATGATGATGCTGACGATGATGATGATGATGATGATGACGACGGTGATGATGATGATGATGATGATGATGATGATGATGATGATGATGATGATGATGCGTATGATGATGATGATGATGATGATGATGATGATGATGATCATGATGATGATGGTAGTGAGAATTATCATTACGATGCTGCATATGAAAATGCCAATTCTTATGATTATGGTGATGAAGACGAAGATGGTGATGCTGATCATCGTGATGATGTGATGATGATTCTAAGGATGATGATGTTGTATATGGTGGCGCTGACTGTGATGCTGCTGACTGTGGTGCTGATTGTAAGGATGATGGTGATGATGATGCTGCTGATGCTGAGGAGGAGGATGGCGATTGTGATGATGACGATGGTGATGATGTTGATGATGCTGATGCTGATTACGATGATTGCAAAGGCCGACCACAGCGATGTTTGAAACGCGTTTGCGCTTATAACGAACAACAACACGAACCCGAACGTTTAAGACGTACATTTAAAACAATACGGGTGCAAACCGAACACGAAAACGAAACGATGCTGCCATTCAACGAGACAACAAAACGAATAACGAAACGAACTCCGCAAACCCCGTTGGACACACAACGGAACACGACACGATGGCATCGAAAGATGGCTGAGGACGGGGCAGCATTGGACGGGGTTTGGTGCCATGGCGAACGCGAAGGGCGAAGTTCTGACTGGGGCCCGACGCAAACAAAACGCCAAAATGAAACAAACCAAGCATGACACATGACAACGAATCAGGACTGCGACGAAGGCCACAAGGCTAAGGTTAGGGCGAAGGGCGGAGTTCCGCTTGAGCCTTGTGCGAACACCAGCGGAACACACACACACAACAAACGAACCGAAACCCGACACAAGGCTGCGGCGAGGGCTGCAGGGCCAGGGCTAAGGCGAGCGGCGAGGTATCGTTTGAAGCTCGTGCGAAAACACAACGGCACAGCGAAACGAAACACTGACCGGGGCTGCGGCGAGGGCTATAGAGGGCCAGGGCCAGAGCGAGGGACGAGGTCCTATCTGAGGACTGCGCGAAGCAGCCGAACAACAAAACGAACAACGAGCCAGGGCGGCGGCGAGGGCTGCAGGGCCAAAGCTTAGGCGAGGGGCGAGGTCCCGTTTTGAGGCATGCGCGAAACAACCGAACCGCAAAACGAACACAACGGACCAGGGCTGCGGCGAGGGCTGCGGGGCCAATGCTGAGGCGAGGGGCGAGGTCCCGTTTTCAGGCTCGTGCGAAAACAAAGGGAACGCCGAGAAACGAAACACTGACCAGGGTTGCGGCGAGGGCTGCAGGGCCAGGGATGAGGTCCCGTTTGAGGCTCGTGCGAAACAAACGGAATACGAAACGAAACACGAACCAGGGTTGTGGCGAGGGCTGCAGGGCCAGGGCTAAGAGAAAAACACTTGTAAACTTGTGATTCTGGGAGCCAACATACGGTCATTCAGCCTCACAAGTACAACGGGTGACACGTGTCTCCCTGGAAACCGTGTGGGAGAAACTATTTCTACAATTGGGACCCTGGGGACCAACATAAGGTTATTCAGCCTCACAAAAACAACGGGTGACACATTTCACCCCCAATTCTGGTTGAGAAAACTCAATTGTAAAGTTGGGATTCTGGGAGCCAACATAAGGCCATTCAGCCTCACAAAATCAATGGGCGACACGTGTCACCCTGGAAACCGTGTGAGAGACACCAATTGTAAAATTGGGATTCTGGGAGCCAACATAAGGCCATTCAACCTCACAAAAACAACGGGTGACACGTGTCACCCGCGAAACCGTGACAAAAACAAGTTGTGAAATGGGGACTCTGGGAACCAACATAAGGCATGTGTTTTTATATATGCAACGGGTGACACGTGTCATCCCCGAACCCTGTGAGAAAAATAACAATTGCAAAGTGGGTGCTCCGGGAGCCAACATGAGGCCATTCATATTCCTCCCAAGAAGGGATGACAAGTGACACCCCGAACATCGTGAGGGAATCCAATTGTAAAGTTGGGATCCTGGGGGCCAGCATAAGGCCATTCAGCCTCACAAAAACAACGGTGACACGCGTCACCCCCGAAACCGTGTGAGAGCAACCAAATGGTAAGACTGGGATTCAGAGAGGTATCATACGGTTATTCAGCCTCCCCCCCAAAAAAACAACAACGGGTGACCCGTGTCACCCCCGAAACCGTCTGACAAAACCCCATTATCGTTTGGGATTCTGGGAACCAACATAAAGCCATTCGACTTCACAAAAACAACGGGTAACACGTGTCACCCTGGAGACCGTGTGAGAAGAACCCAGTTGTAAAGTTGGGGTTCTGGGAGCCAATATACTTTCATCAGGCCTCGCAGAGAAACAACAGGTAACACGTGTCACCCCCGAAGCCGTCCGACAAAACCCACTTGTAAAGTTGGGATTCTGGGAGCCAACATAATTCAGGCCATTCAATCTCACAAACAACGGGTGACACGTGTCACCCCGGAAACCGTGTGAGAGAAATCAATTCTAAAGTGGGGACTCTGGGGCCCAACATAAGGGCATTCAGCCTCGAACAAAAAAAAAAAACTGACACGTGTCACCCCCGAAATCGTTTGAGAAAACCCGATTGTGTGGTTGGGGTTCTGGGGGCTACAGGGAGTCTAAGGCCCAGGAGTCTAGGGACCAGGAGCCTAGGGCCCAGGGGTCTAGATCCCCGGTGTCTGGGGCCCGGGGCTCATGGCCCTGGATGTCTAGGGCATACGAATCTGGGGCCCTGGATTCGAGTGCCCAAGCGGGGGAGGAAACAACGAAACGAAAAACGAAACGACCGCCCAGAAACTATGGCCAAGGCGAGAGAGAACAGAAACGAAACGAAAAACGAAGCGAACACACCCGATCGATGGTTGAGGCTACGGCAGAGGCTGGGGCCCAGGCTGAAGATTAGGCCAGGAGCGCAACAACAATAACGGGGGGGAAAATCAAGAAACGAGCCACGAAACGAACGCCGGGAAATTGGGCCAGGGCGAGGGACGACAGAAACGGAACGAACAACGAAACGAACGAGGAAACGAAACGAACGAGCATAATGATGGCTGGGGCTACGGCAGAGGCTGGGGTCCACGTCGAAGCTCCAGACAGGAGCGCAATAAAACAAAAAGAGCAACAACAACGAAACGAACAACAAAACGAACGTCCCAAAACTACGGCTCAAACGAAGGGAGCAATAATTGGTCGGTCTCGAGCCACCGAAAACGGAAAACAACAGCATCAACAAAACGAAACGAGAAACGACACATGGAACCATAAACTGCAGTTCTATTACACGCAATCAAAACATCGAAAGACGACGGCGGCGCGAAACGAAACAAACAACGAAACAAACCGCGGACTTAACGGAACAAACAAAACGCGCAACGACACGCAACCTTATAATCGCGGCGACACCAAACGGAACACTAAACGCGCGCAAACAAACCTGTTTAATATTCGAACGCGTTCAAAACAATAACGAACAACACAACGGAATCGCAACGAACAACAACAAACAACAAACAAATCAAAGGCCAACGCCTAACTAAACATCGTTGTGGTCGATCTTTGATGCTTGTGATGATGGTGGTGATCCGGATGATGGTGGAGGCGATGATGATGTTGTTGATGTTAATGGTGTTGATGCTGATGCTGCTGCTGATGATGGTGATGGTGATGGTGGTGGTGGTTCGGACGAAAAGAATATATTGACACAGCATGCTATTGATACGTTCTGGGGGCTCTGGGATTCAACCTTCGCGCGGGGTGCACTTTGCGTCGAGTATTGTGTACTCTGGCTGGCGCCGCTGGTCGGTCACCCGTTCGCAATCGAGTGGTCGCCCGTATGGGGGCTATTTGGCCCTTGCTGATCCCCCTTCTCGTTGCCGAACGCGGGGGGGACGTTGGCGCACCGTCTCATCGCCCGCCGCCGCGCACCGCGCGCCTCGGCGGATTTCCGGAGACCTGGTAAGGCAAATCACGCGCGACGCTGGAAAATTCTCCAGGGGTAAATATGACAAAAAATCCGGGAACGTTTTGGAACATGTCCGGCCTAGTTGTTGAAAAATACCAGAACCAATTTTGTAACATTCCGGGATCGCTTCCAACAAAAATCCGGATACATTATATATATAAATATATAAATATAGAAATTCCGGATTTCAGAATTCTTCAGATGTCCTGCGCGGCGGGCGCATTCCACCCCTCAAAAGTGTTCTACTGTTTCGAAAAATTCGGGCTCATTTTTGAACAATTCCTGGAACCGCTTGCGCCAACAAAAACGGAAGTGTTCTCTGAAACATTCTACAATCCAGAAATAATTTCGGGGCGGTCCGACGGGCGCGGCTGGCTGATTCACGCGCCGCGCCGCGCGCGATTGGGCGAAGCGCGCGCCGCACGCTGCGCCCGCGGGCAGCACTCGAAGGGGTCACCTCGAAGACAGCGCCACGACAGCTGCGACTCGCGGACTCCCCGAGAGCAAAACAGCATGCAGCTTGGAATCTCCGAGCGCGCTTTGATGAGCGAAAAATACACCGCGCACATCACGCAAAGAACCTGCGCGACGGAATGCGCTCGACCATTCGTCCCTGGAGCCCGCGCGGAAGAACAAGAAAACCTGGAAATCTTGAAAACTATCAATATCAATACTTCATGCTCCTCTGAGTGGTGCGGTGGTGGTGATGGTAATGAAGATGAAGATGACGATGACACTGGCGATGATGATGATGCTGTTGATGATAATGCTGATGATGATTCTGATGATAATGCAGATGATGACGATGACGAAGACTATGCCGATGATGCTGACGATGATGCTGCTGCTGATGATGATGCTGATTGTGATGATGATGATGATGATGATGATGATGATGATGATGCTGATGATGATGATGATGATGATGATGATGATGATGCTGATGACGATGATGTTGCTGCTGATGATGATGACGATGATGATGATGCTGCTGGTGATGATGCTGATGATGGTGATGATGATGCTGCTGCCGATGATGACGAGGAGTAGGAGTAGGAGTAGGAGTAGGAGTAGGAGTAGGAGTAGGAGTAGTAGTAGTAGTAGTAGTAGTAGTAGTAGTAGTAGTAGGAGGAGGAGGAGGAGGAGGAGGAGGAGAAGGAGGGGGACGAGGAGGAGGAAGAGGAGGAGAAGGGTACTCCGATGTGACCTCTGCTACCCCTGGCTCCTCCACTCCTTTCGCTCTCTCGTTCTCCCTGCTGCTCCTCCTCGTGCCGCCCCTCCGTCTGTCTACCCTCGTCGGCAGGGGAGCCCGCCGCTTTGGGCTAGAGCTGCTGCCCATGTTTGCAGCGCGCCCTCGCCCTCACGCCCGGCAGCTTCAAGCTTCGAGGAGAGGAGGAGGATGAGGAGGGGGAGGATGAGGAGGAGAAGGAGGAAGAGGAGGAGGAGGAGGAAGACTAGGGGGAGGAGGAGGAGGAGGAGGAGGAGGAGGAGGAGGAGGAGGAGGAGGAGGAGGAGGAGGAGGAGGAGGAGGCCGAGGAGGCGGAGGAGGAGGAGGTTGAGGAGGAGCGCACGCGACCGAGGGGGTTCGGGCCCTACCCGAGCAGCGCGACGAAGGGGCCGCCCCGCCCTCGAAACTGCTTGGGGCGAAGGCGAGGACCAGAAGGATGACGACGAGGGTGGAGAGATCGACCGATGCTTCGCTTCGACTAGCGCGCGCGGCCAACAGTGCCCCCGTGTAAGAGCATGCGCGGCGACGGCCTCGGGCTATCTGTCGGCTCGTCGGCGCTCCCATCGCGGACTACCGAGAGGCAGTCGCGGACCAACTCGCAAGCGACCGCCGCCATCTCCTTCCTCACGCCATCTCGCGGGTGCCGTCGTCGTCGTCGTCGCCGCCGCCAGCCGCCCCAGCCGCCGCCGCCGCCAGCCGCCGCCGCCAGCCGTCGTCGTCGTCGTCGTCGTCGTCGTCGTCGTCGTCGTCGTCGTCATCGTCATGGTCGTCGTCGTCGTCGTGGTCGTCGTCGTCATGGTCGTCGTCGTCGTCATGGTCGTCTTCGTCGTCGTCGTCGTAGTCGTGGTCGTCGTCGTCGTCGTCGTCTTGCGTCGCCGAGGTCTTTTATGCCTCTGGAGGCCTCCAAGGGGCTCTGGCCGCCTCCGAGGACATCCGGAAACCGCCGGAGACCTCGGGGCGTCGTCGCCGTCGTTGTCGTCGAGAGGTTGGAAGGGTGGGAAGGAGTGGGAAGGACAAGCTACAGAGGTTTTAAATAAGGATGCCTTCGATAAAGAACCCAGGGTCTCGCGACTGATGGGCGGCCAAACGTGGGCCACCCACCTCGCCTTCAAAAAATAAGGAATGCGCCAGGGTCTGGGCATGTCTGACGTCCTACCCCTCCCTCCCATCCCTTACCATGGCGTAGATCTCCTCTCCATTCGCACAGTCGGATGTCGAGCAGGGCAGTGGTCCCGAGAGGGTGCGCGAAGCATCGTAGAGCACGGCATCGCAGGGCGTAGAAGAGCACGGCAGAGCGTAGAATGTCATAGCATGGCGTGGCGTTGCGTAGTGAAGAATTGCATCACAAAGCATTGCAACGCAAATAATGGCATCGCACAGTGGCACAGAACAGAACATGGCATAGCATGGCGTTGAAGATCAAAGCGTAGCATGGCATAGCATGGCGTGGCACTGCGTAGTCAAGCACTGCATATCCTAGCGTTGCAGCTGAAGGCATGGCATCGCACAGCGGAGCACCACACAGCATGTCATTGCATGCCGTGGCATGGCACTGGAAACAATGACGCCACCGCTGCAGCGGGAACACGATTCGGAGCGAGCGCAGCGCGGAAATGAGGCCAACGCTGCAGCGGGAACAACATTTTGAACAAAAACCCAGCGAAACCCAACTGCCAGGAATCCTGTGTTACAAACAATACGCAGAGGGGGGCCAAACACCTTCTGGACGTCATCAGGGGAGAGAGGAGGCAGTATTCATATTGTGAAATGTGGAGGATGAGGAGGAGGACGAGAAGGAGGAGGCAGAGCGTGGACGATGGGAGGAGGAGGAAGAGGAGGAGGAGGAGGAGGCGGAGGAGGAGGAGTAGGAATCAGAAAAAGAGAAGGGGGAGAAGAAGGTGTGGATCGTGGCCGAAAAACGTCTTCGATACCGTGCGGACCCTTTAGGGAAGGTCAGGTCGGCCCGCTAATGCTGAACGCGAAACACAGGAACCAAACTGAGAAGAACAAGACACGGAACCATGGCTCCGCAAGGACGCAGAACAAATCATAGCATGGAACGAACACCGAGCGAAAACGCAATCATTGACTTTGTGCTGCGAAACTCTCGAGGAGAAACCGACGACACAACCACAATTTAACGCGTAAGACACGAGACAGAGACGACCGATACCCATCATATACCATACTACCACAGTGAATCAGGTTCCCAGCAAGCTCTCAAGGGACCTGACAACATCACGCGTCCAAGGAGCCTCTGCTCAATCGACGTCGGGCCACACTAGTCCTGCAGAGGATCCCAACTACGAGACCGAGCTCGTCCAACTGCGCAATCTCCTCGAATCTGCTGCAGTCGATGGGCCTTGGCGTCGGGGAGATTCGCTGTGGGCCACAAGCCCCCGCGGCACAGTCAGCGACTTGCTTCCCCCCCTCGATGGCTCGATCCTGTCGTCCACGCCGCGACCGTCGGGGTGAAAGAACACGCAGTCATGAAGGGGAACTGGGACACACAAATAAACACACACACACAAATAAAAGGATTTCCCACATTTCCCTATATTTTCAAGGTTTCTGTCTTCCCCCCCACTTCCCATATTTTCCAATATTTTCCTGGGAAGTCGACGATTAATTCTGTCGGTGTGATTCTTCCCCTCCTGATCGATGGCTCGATCATGTCGTCCACGCCACGACCGTCGGGGTGAAAGCACACGCAGCCTGGTCGATGGCAGCTCCTGCCAGATCGGCACAGCCTCTGCGTGTGCCCCGGGAGACGCCACGGGCGGCCGTGGCGCAGCACTCGGCGCAGGCCCAGCTCTGGACAGAAGACGGCGGCGGCTCGGCCCCTGACGCCGTTAGGCCCGGCGGACCTCCAGGCTGCGACGCCAGAAGCGGGACCGCCTCGCTCGATCGTCCAGGCGTCGCAGGCCGTGGCGGGGCAAGACTGCTGGACAACCTTCGGACTTTTGTGTGCATGTCGGTGTGCTGCGCACGCAGCTCGCCGATCCACGTGGCGAACTTTGACTCCTGCTCGTCCTAGAGGCAACGCGCCATCACCGCAAACCCGTCCGCTATCGGTGCAATGGGCTTCTCGACAACACTAAACATCGCACTGGGGACAACATCCGTGACACTCGAGGGGATGATGTCCTTTGACGTCTTAGATGCGACGAAAAACAACACCCTAAGCGCTGTGCGTCGGGATCCTCTCATGGCACGCCGCTACTTCTTTCTCCACTGCGCCTGCGCGACTGCAGAAGTTCCTGTCGACCTGTACCTTAGATTGGAAGGCTGAAGCTGTTAACAAACCTGAGTCCGACGAGTCCGCCGACCCAGCAAGCCTTGGCGAGGGGGAAGGTGATGCCGCTCTTTGCTTTCCCTCCGCAACATTCGTGACAGAGAGCGCAACCTGCCGCTCGATGTTGCTATTCAGTTTCGCGACCGAGCCATTATGTGCATTAGTAAGCTCCTGGCAAAATGCAACTTGCCCACCATACGTCCAATGCGACACGGCTAAGAGATCTGGCACGGACACCCAGGATGTCGCAACGGGGTGCTTCGGGTAGAACTCGGGAACATCCGCTTCAAAAACCTTAGCACAACGACCCCGGGGAAAACGATGATATCGAAATGTGCGTTTTGGAACATCACCTCCGCAATCCGGAAAAGAACATTGTAAAACCATATCCAACTCTTGTAAAGACTCCTGCTCCTACATATCCGTGTGACGGCAATGAAACTGGTGCACAACAGCAACAACATGACGAAGACGCCATCGAAGAGCCGAGGGAAGCTCGCGACGAACCTCATGAACCAACTGTCGAGCCCCGAGTGATGGCCCCATGACGCTGCACGAATCAAGCTCAAGGCGCGTCCAGCCAAACATGAGATCTGTCCACAGGCTACATCCATGACGCGGCGACAGCAGACATAATGCCAATACGCACAGGGAACACACATATAACATACAGTCGGGGCGTTGACCTAAGGAACCCTAAATAAGGAACGAGGCCCCTTTTTGCCATAAGTTGAACTTCGATTTCGTATCGAAAACCTAAGGACAACCTGAGGCAAGCTGCGAAACACTTAAGGAACGCGGAGCCCCTCCCCAACGAAAAGGGTTCCTTCTTCAAGGCCCCGACTGTATACGAAACAACATAATGCGCAAAGGTCGCTTGAGCCACAGACCAAATAATGTGTCTTGCGCCATAATGGCTCCAGAGGAGGAAGAGGCGGACGAGGATCGGAGGAGGAGGAGGAGGAGGAGGAGGAGGAAGAGGAGCAGGAGGAGAAGGATGAGGAAGAGGAGGAGGGGGCGCAGGAGGGGGCGCAGGAGGGGGAGGAGGAGGGAGGTAGAGGTAGGATGCGCAGAATGTGTGTGTGTGCGCGCGCGTGTGTGTTGACATGTGTTTTGCTTATTTGGGCCAACTGGGCAACCCCTCGTCGCGACGGCTGGATCCGCGGGAAGGGAGATTTCCAGAAGTCCACGTCGTGAAAAACATCACGACGTTGGAGATCTGGGGAGGAGGAGGAAGAGGAGGAGGAGGAGGAGAAGAGAAAATAGAGGATGCTTTCGAAAGGCCTCGGCGGTACTCGGAATTCTGGGAAACCTTTGAAAAGTTTTGCACGCTTCGGGGCGGTCTTGGGCTTGTCCGCCAGGGTGGGGGTGGCAGGGAGGAGGAGGGCCCTCCTGGGGAGGAATGACGAGGTTGAGGTTTCGATGTTTTCCGGCGTGCCTTTGGGGAGGAAGAGATGAGCCGAAGGAGGAGGAGGAGGAGGGTGACGAGGGACAGACTTTCAGTGGCCCTCGGAAGCTTTCGGATGGCTCCAAGACTTTCAAACATCTCTGGAAGGAAAAGAAGATGATGTAAGGAGGAGGAGGACGAGGACATGGAGGATGGGAAGGTAGGTTTTATATTGTATTCTAGGAATACCACGAGCTGGACAAATCATCAACACACATCCCCATCATCTTTTAAACTGATCAAAATGGCCAACAACCCTGTGATCCCGACCGTGGAATCGCTGCAGGAATTGCGATATCTACCATAACGCAACTTCTTGCAGCGCCGATGCATGTTGCTGTCTCCAACATGCAACTCTCTGGATACATACATGCCACATCAACAAGCCACAACAACATCATAGAACATCGACCAGCCACAATAGTTAACAACAACGAGACGATCAACAATCCGCATTAACATTGCACACAATTCTTTTCAAACGAACCATGTAATTGCTATCGGTGTTACTCGTCGTCGACGTTGCCAGCGTCTGCCTCCGTCCTCAAATAACACCGTTTTCACAAGTCCGCCACCTGGCATCGTCACGAAACCTGCGACCGCATTGCAAATCAGCCGCTTCTGCTCCTCGGAAGGCAACGTCCTAAAGAACGTGGCGATCTTGTACCTACACATGGAAATCCAATTCATTCAACCTGCTCTCGACCCGGACAGAACATTGCAGAAGAGGGAATAGCAATCCGGATGCCGCGGGAAGAAACGCAACCTACGAACCCTTATGAGGAGCTGCACGTCGAGCGCACCAACAGAGAATCGCGGACGCGAGAACCACCAGAGAGAGGGGTGGAGAAGCAACTCTGTAGAACGCGCTGGTACTAGTAAGAGGGGATGGGTACGAGGATGCAGAGTCTGCGTGAAAGAGCGTGCCACTAGGGCGGAGCGTGGTGCAGACTCTGCTCCAAATGTCGTTCTCCGCCTCCGCCTCCCCTCAATCCCCCCTCTCCCCCTCCATCTCCTCCCCCTCCTTACCCTCGCCCCCCTCCTGCGATCAAAGGCAATGCCGCGATGAGAGAGGTGTTTCTCCGAGTTGTCGACGAGAAGCTTAACATGCGTCTTGGCGTGGCACACGATGCCAATTTTACGACTCTACAGGATGGTTGACATTGTACAACATCTCTGAGGCTAGAGGTTTCCGCGCATGCTTTTGAGATATACTTTTTGCAATGCCTGCTGCGATGTGCCTTCGCCAGTCAGGAGCACATTCGTCTCTGTTGGGCCATCCAGATCGAATATCTAACACTTCTGATCAAGAACGCGGCTTGCCAAAACTGTCGCATTTTGCGTCGTGAAGGGTGCCGCCACCATCCACATCAACATGCCGCACACACCCTGGACATCGACCTCGGCCAGTCCGTCAAGGGGCCGGGGGAAGCCTTCAAGGTTTGCCCTGTGAGCTGGCTATCATGCATCAGCATGAGAGCGGTGGCCTTGATAACTGAATCTTTTCGTTCGCTGCAAGCTGGGTGGCGCAACGCCGGCGAGAGTGCGACAAATGCGAGAACGGTGTCTTTCACTGCGAGCTGCCCCACGGACACCGTGCAAGACGACCCGAACCGAGGAACACTAATCTATGCATCTGGATATGCTCTAGAACGCCAGGGCACGGGCTCACAGACTAGAGGCCTCCTAGATGGGTTCGGAGTAGATGGGGTCGGAGGATCGCGCCGCATCGCCGATACATCGGCGATGCGTCGGCGATGCGTCGGCGATGCGCCACCGATGCATCGTCGACGTCGGCGATGTATCGGCGACGTCGACGCGAAGCGAATCGGGCTCCGCATCGAGCCGCATCGCCGACGCATCTGCGAGGCGGCGCGATCCTCGGACCCCGTCTACTCCGAACCCATCTAGGAGGATCTGCTCCGACCCCATCTAGGAGGCCTAGAGAGAGGAGGTGGAGGTGGAGGTGGAGGAGGAGGAGGAGGAGGAGGAGGAGGAGGAGGAGCCCTGAACAGACAGGCCAGGGCAGCAGGGCGCCCAGGCAGCTGGCGCCTGCGGGGGGCAGCGGGCGCCCGCGGAGCGCCCGGGGCAGCTGCTGGCCAGCTGCCGCGGTGGGCACTGCGACGGGGCCTCGGCCGTCGGGCCGATGCCTCGCCCCGCCGCTCGTGTCCTCCGAGCGCCGGGAGGGGGCTTAAATTCGATGTCTCGAAATTCAACAGGTCGTTAGAGCTCTAGCATTCTTTTCCCCATCTTCGATCTTACTCCCGCTCGCCGTCTTGGTGTCAGGTCGATCGGGTACATATTACTATCAAGAAGCACTCAGGCAGGATCGGCCGTTTAGTGTCATCTTGGCAGGTGCTGTCTGGCCCCCACGACGTCCAAGGGGCGCTTTCGCCCGTCGCTGCCGCGCACTGCTTCGCATCCTGCAGCTCCAGCGGGAGTTGTTCACGCAACGAGGCGGAGGCGCCGGAGGGGCTGCACGACGCAGCTGTTTCACTCGAGGGCCTCAGGGCGAAACCACCACGGCTGGGTGGATTCCACGGCCACAGCTCCTCGAGACGACACGGGTACTGATAAGATTTGGAACCTTCCCGTCGGCAAACTCACGCGCTTTGCGAATATTGCTCCTGAGCTTCCCAAACAAGTGCGATTAGACAGGCGGACGTTGTATCGACATCAGTGTCAGCGCTTTTGCGGCGCAAGCATGAATAGTGGAGTACGCAATTGCTCGTATCTGCATCTGTGACGCCAATTGGAGCAAGTTCCAGGTGGGGCGTGCTGCTGCGCCACCTGCAGAACCCTCGTGTGTGGCCTGGCCTCACACACGGAGGCAGACCCGAGCCAAGCAAACCAGCTCCCGCAGGTGTCTTCCCTCCTCCTCCTCCTCCTCCTCCTCCGCTTTCACCACCTGCTCCTCCTCCTCCTCCTCCTCCTCCTCCTCCTCCTCGAACTAGGAGGACCTCGTAGAATCCTACAGACATGCACCGACATCCCCAGAACAATCGAAAACCCTCCCCACTCCCCTCCAACCTCTCGCCCTTCCTCCTTCCTCCCCCTCCCGCCATTCTCCTGCTCCCCCCTGTGAGCTTGAAGCGAACCACAATCCGCTCAGAAGCCTTCCCCAACCAAACCCCCTCCCGGGCCTCAAACACCGTTCTGGGCCCGTCTTCCGAACCCCCGCCCGGCCGTGCCGACGTATGTGTGTGTGTGTGTGTGTATGTGTGTGTATAGCAAAGACAACCTCCGTGTCGAGGGGGCTCTCGCGCGCAGCTCGCCAGCTCGCCGGAAGCGTAATTCACAGTTCTGCAACCGCGGAGGGGGCCAGCGATCGGCATATTGGGCTCTGGCCAACGAAGACCTCCATATGCCAATGTGTAAACGTACCTCTGCTATACAGCGCGAGCTTTTTTGTTGTTGTGCTTTTTTGTTTTCTTCTTTTTGACATATCAAGCAAACCAACATAGAACTATATTTTTGCAAACAAGCAAAAACTATTCCTTCATATGCATCCTCCTTGTCGGTTTTTTGTTTGAAAAACGAAAAGTACAAATCTTCTCTATTATATATATATATATATATATATATATATATATTCTACACCGAGTTCATGCGTATTGTTTTTTTTGCTGGTTTTGTCATCCATATGTTAATATTTGTATCTAAGTGTATATTTATGTTTAACCACTCCTGTTGCACAGATCGGCCACCGTCGGCTTCTCCTACGCCGCCAGCGCCAAGTACACTTTCACCTGCTACAACATGAAATCTCGTAACACTCCAAACACTTTGCTTCATAGTGGTCTCAGGGTGACGGATGGTCTCTTCACATGGCAAATGTGTGTGGTCCCAGGGGCTCAGGGAAGGGAGGAGTTGGCTTCGAGGGCCCCGAGGCAGGCGGAGGGAGGAGGTGCATCAGGAGGAAAAACACCCATGTACCCCTGTGTGGGATGGTTCGGGTTGCGGCTGCGGTTGCGGTTGCGCCCGCGGGCGGGTTGAAACGTGTCGCCTGGTTGCGGTTGCGGTTGCGCCCGCGGACGGGTTGAAACGTGCCGCCTGGTTGCGGTTGCGGTTGCGCCCGCGGGCGGGTTGAAACGCGCCGCCTGGTTGCGGTTGCGGTTGCGCCCGCGGGCGGGTTGAAACATGTCGCCTGGTTGCGGTTGCGGTTGCGCCCGCGGGCGGGTTGAAACGTGTCGCCTGATTGCGGTTGCGGTTGTGCTCGCGGGCGGGTTGAAATCTGTCGCCCGGTTGCGGTTTCGGTTGCGCCCGCGGGCGATCTGAAATGCGCCGCCTGGTCACGGTTTCGGTTGCGCCCGCGGGCGGGTCGAAATGTGTCGCCTGGTTGCGGTTGCGTTTGCGCCCGGGAGGCTTGAAGTGTGTTGTCAAAAGTGCCCCTCCGGTTCAGTCAGATCAGTTCGGTCGGTCAGGCAGTCAGCGGAGGGCACGGGATTTCACCCTGCTTCGCCAGGAATCGAAAGTGCTTTCCTCTTTCCACCCTAAAACGGGTGAGCTGATGAGGATGAGGAGGAGGAGGAGGCGGAGGAGGAGGAGGAGGAGGAGGAGGAGGAGGAGGAGAAGAAGAAGAAGACACTCCCGCGGTCGCGTGTCGCCCCCTCGGGGGCCGCCGCGCCCGAGCGCCCGCGGCCGCGGGCACTCAGCGCGGGAGCCAGCGGCGTCGCCAGCTCGGCGCTCGGCGCCTCTTCAGATGAGGAGCACGATGGAGCCGCCGACGAGCTCCGCGTCGGACTTACCGCTTCTTCTTGCCCTTGCCCTTCTTGCAGCCTTCCGCCGCCACCCCAGCAGCAGCACCGTCCACGAAGGGCTGCGCGTCCTCGAAGGCGACCTCGCACACCGTCGCACGGCGGCCGCTCTCGACCAGGACGCACACGGAGCCGTGCGGGTCGACGCCGTCATTGGGATCGCCGTACACCGACCCTTGGCGCCCATCTCGAAGACGAACGCGGTCGCCTTCCCGCAGGATGTGCGGGGTGCGCCTCGGGGGCACCTCATCTGCCCACTCGTCGTCGTCGACGTCGGAGGGGAGCTTCATGTCCTCCTGGACCACCGCCTCCGCCGCCGCCGCCGCCGCACCCACCACGCCGCCGTCGGCGGGGGCCCCCACACCCACCGCCGCCGTCGCCGCCGCACCGCCACCCAGGGGCTTCTCCTCCACGACGTCCTGCAGCTGGAAGCGCAAGTCCACCTCCATCCGTCCTCCGCGGCCGCGCGGGCGACGGCGCCGAGGCGGCACCGCCTGGGGACCCGCGCCGACCTCGGCGGGAGGGGTGGGCTGCCCGACCAGCTCGGCCACAGCCGTGCGGACGAGCCCCTCCGCCGCACGCAGGAGGCGTGCCGAGTCACGCATCCCTCCTGCGGCGGCCAAGCCCGCGGCCGCGTGGACCGCCATCAGGGCCCCACGCGAGGCCTCCAGTGGCGCCGCGGCGCGTGCCGCCTTGGTCGAACCCGGCATCGGAGGCGAGGCGGGAGGCGCGGCGCGGCGCGGCGCAGCCCGGCGGCAAGGCGACCTGATCCAGTACGGTTCTGGAGGAGGAGGAGGAGGAGGGGGAGGAGGAGGAGGAGGAGGATGTGGATTGTGCGGAGGAGGAAGAGACGGAGGATGTGGAGGAGGCACTCCCCCTGGGTGGCTGTGGTAAGGAGAGGCCAGCATGCCCGTGTTGTTCTTCGGGCAGTGCGGGCGCACGGCGTCAGCGAGGGCCGGCCCGGTCCGCGGCCCGTGTCGACCGCCGGCCACATCCGAGTCGGACCCGAGAAAGTTCCGGAAAGGGGCTCTCCCGTGGGGGCACTGGGCAGCAGCTCTCAGATCCTTGGCCCCTGTTCCTCTCCTAACAAGGGGTCTGTCGATCCCCATCCCAGGCTTCGTGGGGTTTTCGAACGGATCAGGAATTCGGCGCCCAACCCTGGGATACACGAGGTGGGGGCGTACATCGTCGATAGGGGTGCGCCCGAAGAGCCCCCCTGGGGGTGTATCCCAGGGTTTCCCCCCTTTTCTGAGCGGCTGAATTTTCTGTCGAGAAGTCGGGGGCTGGGATAGAAACATCGTCTGCGATCTCCTGTCCCCCACGGCCCTCCAAACTGTACCTGGCTCTGGAGGCCGCATTTTTTTGTTTTAAAAACAGATATATACCATGTATACACTTCTCGAATTGTGCGTGTCATCCTTGCGCAGGGGCCATGTAAATCTTCTCTGCATCGTTCAAATTTTAACGGATGATCCCCGAAGGGAATCCACCGCAAAGGCGTTCTCTTGAGACCAGGCTTTCGGGCCATGCTTTTCGTGGCCGTTCGGGCAGTGCCAATGGTCGACCAGGCTTTGGTGATCGTTGGAGCGCTCGAACACGACGACGGTGATGATGGTGGGTCTCTCGAGGTGAAAGGAGGGCGTTTGGCTTCAGACTCGAGCGAACTACCTTGCGTGGCATCTCCCTCCCTCCCATCCGCCTCCATCCCCCTCAAGGCATGCCTTGCTTTCTAGGAAGTGGAGGAGGGCGTCTTGCTTCAGCCTCGGGCAAGCTTCCTTGCACGGCAGTCCCTCCCCCCCTGCCCCCCACCCGTCGCCTTCTCAGACAGCTCCTGGCCGAGAGGGTGTGCAAGTGAGTCCCGACTGGCGTGAGGCCCCGATTCTTTTTCGGGCCTCGCCACGCCCCACCCCCCGCCCTTTCCATGCAGCGAAGCCTGGCAGAGTCTCGGGCACAGCGGAAGGGCTTGCCTGGGGATGCCAAAAAAGCACCAAGACCGCTGCTCCCCGGACCTCTCCCGGGGTGCGTTCTGACCAGAATCTCGAGGCGAATCCAGCGGTGGCAACGAGGGCCTCCCAGGAGGTCCTCAAGAGAAGGGGACTCGAGGCCAGGGTATAGGTATGTTCGGTGGCAACTCACGGGGGCCTCACATACCATCTTGTCGGCTCTTGCGAATCGACGCTAGTCGACGCTCATCGACGCTGCATCGACGCTAGCAGACGCTCAATCGGCGCTATCCCGTCGACTCCCAGACGCTAGTCGACTCTCATCGACGCTGAAGATCAGATTGAGAGGGCGCGCCAGGCTCCCGGGATCTGCTGCCGAATTGGCCTGGGCACCGCTCTCCTCCTCCGCTTGCTTGCGGTGGCAGGCGGGATGAGGCCGACCGCGGAGCCCTGCCCCCACTCGGGAGCGGCCAAGAGGGGGGTGTCCAAGAGGGGGGGGTGCAAACCATGGCCGGCGGCATGTGCGCGGCCCAGCGGGGGGGCCAGGGACGTGACGAAATAAGAGGAGGCGCCACGAGATCTGGGGAGATAGCATGGCCCCCGCCATGATATCCACCCCCCCCTACCCTGACCTTCCAGAGAGCTATTTTTTAGCACTGGAGACCTAAAAACCTAAAAAACTAAACGAAACAGCCTAAAACCAAGACGTAGAATAGCTCTGGGATAGGTTTTTAGGTCGGGTGCTATTTTTTAGCCCTCCTGGAAGGTCAGGGTAGTCATCACCCCCCTCTTTGCCGCCCCCGACCCACCGCTCCCGGGCGCAGGACGGGGCCGAGCTCGGCCGCCCGGCGGAGGGGCCCCGGGAGCCGTGGCGCTCCCGTGGACGCTCCCGGCCCGCGCGCGGCCGGCCGCGGGCGTCGCAGGCGCGGCCCCGGAGGGGCTCGTTTGCGGGCCGTGGCGGACGGAGCCAGGACGAGGACAGCATCGGGCGAGGGCACGTCGCGGAGCTCTGAGATCTGGCGGCCCTGGAGGGCGCATCGGGCGCCGCGGCCTTTTCGGAGCGTGCCGCCACGCCTTGGGACGGATCCGTCCTCGTCCTGGCCCCGTCCGATCGTGGGCCATCCATGCGTCCAAGTCTTCAGGATCAGGGTGCGGAGAGGATGACGTGCAGAGCGAGGACTCGCGACACTGGCTGCAGCGTCGCCCAGCGTCAGGGCCTCGCCCACTGTGAAGCTTCGCCAGCGCTGCAGAATCCACGAGGGCCAATCAGATGCCAACCGTCCTTTGAGAGTTGCAGTCTACACCGCGAGCTGTAGAATCTGTTGGATTAGATGTCGGCGAAGCAAATCACGTAGGACAGCAGCAGGGTGACCATGGCGATTCCAATTCGGGTGCACGGCACGCGAATAGCGAGGACTTCCCCCAGCTACGCATCGGGACGCCGATCGCGTGGGTGACCCAAATGTGTTCCTCTGCCATCCTCCGTGGCAATGTCGATGACGTCGCGCCAAACCGAACAGATGGAACGCACAAACCTGGGCATGATGGACAGCCCGTGTCTCTCGATCGGCGTGAAACGCAGAAGCTGAGAATATCGACGTGACATCTAACCCATGGTGGCACATAGAGAGCAGAACATCCACCCTCACAATAAGCACCCCAACAAGCGAAGCCATGTAGTACACGCACCCAATGACGGAATCGAACAGGGAAGTGCTGTATAGTAATCGCACAGGGCCGTTTAGTAAACGCCAATTGTCGGGGTCGGGGTGTTTGTCCTTCCCTTGTTGATGATGCTGATGATGGTGCGGATGATGATGCTGGCGATGATAGTGCTGATGATAATGATGATGATGCTGCTGTTGATGATGATAATGCTGATGATGATGCTACTGCTGCTGTTGATGATGACGATAACGATGATGAGGCTGCTGCTGCTGATGCTGATGTTGATGCTGATGATGATGGTGGATGATGATGCCGCTGGAGCTGATGCTGATGCTGATGCTGATGATGATGCAGATGATGCTGCTGCTGCTGCTTATGATGATGAGGATGCTAACGATGACGATGACGACAACGATGACGATGACGATGATGATGATGATGATGATGATGATGATGGTGACGATGATGATGATGATGGATGATGCTGGTCGTGATGATGATGCTGATGAGGATGATGATGGTGGTGATGATGATGATGATGATGATGGTGATGATGCGTCTGCTGCTGCTGCAGCTGAAGATGACGATGATGATGCTCATGTTGCTGATGGTGAGGATGATGCGGATGCTGCTGATGCTGATGCTGACGATGCTGACGATGATGATGATGATGATGAAGATGATGATGACGATGATGGTGACTACGACGATGATGCTGCTGATGCTGATGATGACGATGATGCTGGGGATCATGATCATGATTCTGATGATGATGCTGATGATGATGATGCTGATGATGATGCTGCGGCTGCTGCTGCTGATGGTGACGATGATGTTGATGATCATGCTGATGATGCTGCTGATGATGATGCTGATGATGGATGATGCTGACGATGATGATGGATGGTGATGGTGGTGATGATGATGATGATGATGATGATGATGATGATGATGGTGATGGTGATGGCGATGGTGATGATCATGATGATGCTGATGCTGATGCTGATGCTGATGCTGATGATGATGATGCTGGTGATGATGCTGATGATGATGATGATGATGATGATGATGTTGTTGTTGATGATGGTTTTCATGGTAGACGAGGACCATCCTCTTCCTCCTTCTCCTCCCCCTCCTCCTCCTCCTCCTCCTCCTCCTCCTCCTCCTCCTCCTCCCCCTCCTCGCACGTGCCCTGAGGCGCGCCACCTGCCTCCGAGATCACCTCTGGAGCTGGGACCGGTGACGGCCAGCGTGCCAGGACGATGCTCGCTGAGAAGCTGCAGAGAGCACCTCTCGGCACCGGTGGCGTTGAGCAGGAGACTTGTAGCACCTGGAACGCGTATGGGATGGATGCCCTCCTCATCTTCCTCCTCCTCCTCCGCCTCCTCCTCATCCTTTCCTCCTCCTCCTCCTCCTCCTCCTCCTCCACCTCCACCCGGCAGGGTGCAGGTCGGTCTGCGCCACGTCGAGGCCAGGCTGCTTGAGGAATCTCGCCTGGAGCAGCGCGTAGCGCCCCGTCTCCTGGGCGCACGCCGACGGCGGTGCCCCGGCATCGCCGCCGCCGCCGACGCCGCGGCCGCCCGCCGCCGCGGCCCCCCGCCGTTCGCCGCCGTCGCAGCAGCCGTCGTGGCTCCGACGCCGACGCCGACGCCGACGACGACGACGCAGACGCCGACGCCGACGACGCCGACGCCGACGCCGACGCCGACGCCGACGCTGATGCCGACGCCGACGCCGACGCCGATGCCGACGCCGACGAGGACGACGACGCCGACGCCGAAGCCGACGCCGACGCCGACGACGACGACGCCGACGACGACGACGACGACGCTCCGAAGGCAACGGGAGCTGGCCTTCGGGGGGCCCTCTCGCCGCCATGGCTGCAGGCCGCTTGGGAAAACTGGGCGTCACCCCACTGGGGGGGGGGCGATCAGTGAGGCCCCTTCGGGGCCCCTGGAGGGCGCAGGTGCGCCTATCTCTCCCCCACCACTGCGCAACGCCGGGCGCTTGGAAGGCGACAACGTCCACGACCACGACGACGACGACGACGACGACGACGAGGACGAGGACGAGGACGACGACGACGACGGCTGCCGTCGCTGCTCAACGCACCCCCCACTGCGCAACGCCGGGCGCTTGGACCCCGCATGGGGTCTGGGGACCCCCGCGTTGCCTCGGCTCGCCCTACCGGGGGGGGGCAGCGATCGGGCCAGTGCGCCTGGCACAGGGGGGGGAACTACATCGACCTGGAATCGGCGAGACCTCGCCGAGGGATCGGCGGTGCGCCCCCGATGGCGAAGCCGCACCTTCCCGGGCGGGGCGCGGCCATCGGGCCAATGTCTGGAAGAAGAAGCAGCGCCATGACCAGAAACTTGTGGCGCTCCGCGCGGGTTTCTCGGATCCTCGCTGGGGCTCCCCTCCCTGGCGCAGAGCGCGCCAAGGGCGGCGCCTGGGGCGGCGCCTGAGGCACCGCCAGGGGGGGCCCAGCGCGGGTCTGAGAAATCCGCGCGGAGCGGCACCAGTTTATGTTTGTGCCGTTTCTCCTTCTTCTTCTTCTTCTTCTTCCCCTTCTTCGAATATCGGCGATCCATGGGCGATTGGGGGTCGATGCTTCCCCCCCTGTACAGACACCCCTATCGTTGGGTCGGCCATGTCCCCCTACCGGCAAATTTTGGAGAACAGCTTGAAAACAGCCACACAGCAGTTAAGCTGAAATCGTAGAAAAAAGTCGTCACCAGGGCGTTTTCTGACTAGTTTTGCATATTCCTCCTGTGCAGGGACATGCCCGACTTAACCCTGTCGCTGCCCCCGGTCCAAGCGGCCGTGGCCGCCACCGCCGCCCGGCGGCGCAGGCGCCGCCCGTGGCGGGCGGAGGAGTCCTGCCGTCGCTCGGACGTCCATTCCCCTGGGCGCTCTTCGCTTTTTCGTGCGTGCTTTTTTTCTCTCGGCGATCCGGGATGCTCCTCCCAGACCCCCTCGGGTAATGACAAACTCGTGACGGTATCTTTTTCGTATAATTTTCGGCCTCTGGAGGCCCTAAACAGCCCTCGGGACCGTCAAAAATCGACTCAGGATGAAACACCCGCCCCGGGGAATGGGTCGAGATTTAGGTCGGGCATGTCCCCCTACTCGACGAAAAATAACAAATACTCCCAAAATGACCGAAACATATTCAAACATGGTCAAACAGTGGTCCAAGACTATCTTTGGACTGTTTCTGAATTTTCCTCCTGTAGAGGGACAGGCCCGACTTCAGACTCGGGATGAAGAACTGGCCCCGCGGAATGGGTCGAGATCTCTGGGGGCCGACGCCATGAACAAAATCATGACGCCGGGGATCTGTCTGGGCTCCATGGCCCTTGCCGAAGAACCAGTGCACACGCCCGAGCGATGCCAAGGCGTGCGAGCTCCCCAGACCCCCGACCTCATGACTCTTCTCCAGAACGTCGGCCCCGAAACTTCTCGAGCCACTCTTTTTTTTTTTGTATTCTCTTCCTACCCCAAGGTCTCATGCCAAAACAACTGCTGCATCCACTGACCCACGCGGCCTAACAGAATCTACTCCGCGAAGCTCGCTTCCGCCACGGGATGAGGAACCACTCCCCGGGACCGGCTTCTCATCCCGAGTCTCCCCGGGACCGGCTTCTCATCCCGAGTCGCTCTTTGACGGCCCCGAGGCCCGGCACGGGCCCCCGGGGGCCGAACACAACGAGAGACCTTCCGTCGTGATCTCCTCACGCCTCGAGGGGAGCTGGGGCGCCGGAGCACTTCCCAGACGACCCGACGATGACCCCGCGCAGGAGCCGGCCACGCTGCCTTGGGCGCTCGGGCGGCCCCAGCGCCCACGCTTCCGACCGGGGCTTGGCGGATGTCATGGCGCCTCTTCTCATTTCCACGCGTTTCCTGGCCCCCCCCTGGTCCGCGCACGTGCCTCGGGCCATGATTTGCATCCCCCCCTCTTGGACGCCCACGAGTCTGGCGCCAGGACTGCGTTGCTGACGCCTCCGCCGAAGGGCGGCCACGCGCAAAAGGGGGGGGGGAGGGGGGAAGGCTTCCTAGCAACGCCCCTGCTCCTGGGAAAGCGCCGGCTTTCCATCTGCGAACAAGGCTGGCGCCTTCCAGGCAGCCTCCTTCCAAGGTGATCGCTTTCAGATTCATTGTTTTGCCAGTCGGCGCGGGCCCTCGCACCCCCTCCCCCCCTCCCCCCCGTGGAATAGATCTTGGCTGCTTTTGGCGCCCGTCTCAAGCAGGTGGAGTCTCTCCCCCACCCGACGCACTGTTGCCAATAGTCGCCATCAGCAGAGTTCCGGAGCCAGACCCTCCCCCTCCCCCCTCCCCTTGCGCCAGATGTCGAAACGCCGACTAAGAAAACGTTCGCAAGGAACCTTCTAGGCAACTTTGGGGCGACAGAAAAGAACCGATACCGCTCCTCCCCGGACCACAAGGTACCGATACCACTACCCCCCGCCCTTCCGCCTCCTCTTCCTCCAAATATTCTTCCGTCTTTCCCGCCCCTGCCTCCCCTGCGCCTCTTTTCCTCCTCCCTCCTTCCTTCCTGCCCTCCGTCGTCCCTTCTCTCGTCCTTCGCTCCTTCTCTCTGGCCTCTCCCGGCCACTCCGCCTTCTTCTTCTTTCTCCTTCCCCCCCCCCGGCGCGTTGACCGACCGGCCACAACTGGGGGAGCTGTGGCCCTTACCCCCCTGGGGGAACCCATCGCCTCGACGATCTCTCGAGAGGGGTGTCGAAATCGATGGGCCCCCCAGGGGGGTGAGGACCACAGCTCCCCCAATTGTGGCTGGCCTGGTTGAAGTCCTCCGCGCTTCTCTGGCGAAGGTCCTGCAGCAGGGCCCCGCCTGGATCATCCTCCCACCGCATGAACCCGGCAGGTCTCCCCGCCGGCAGCCCTGCGCAGGGCGGAGAGCGGGAGGGCGAGGACACGGGAAGGGAGGAGGAGGAGGAGGAGGAGGAGGAGGAGGAGGAGGAGGAGGAGGAGGAGGAGGAGGAGGAGGAGGAGGAGGAGGAGGAGGGAAGGAGGAGGAGGAGGAGGAGGAAGTGGAGGAGGAGGAGGAGGAGGAGGAGGAGGAGGAGGAGGGAAGGAGGAGGAGGATCATATCAGACTCCTATGGGGGCATGAATCCACTCCGTGACACACTAGGCGCCCTAGGATCGACATAGCTGCCGCGATTTCGGGCCTCCGCCCGCCCTGAGTTTTCAGGGTATCAGAACCCTAAACAACTACCGAAACACAACACACTCTGAAGTCAAAAAAGCGCAGCCGGCCCCGAGAGACTTTCCCAGGCCAGAATCACGGAACGGAGGAGGAAGAGAAAGGAGGGGCGGCCTGACACCGGCAGCCGCGGGGCCTCAAGACGCGAAGCCGTAGTAGACGCAGCCGTGCGCGTAGCCCTCGTACCCCCCGTTCAGGACGGCATCGGAACACACGCGCAGGCCATGGAAGTAGCACAAATTCACAAGTACTCAGTATACAGCGCACAGCACGACATAGACTCTCAACTTCACCAATGATAGTAGCTCCCACAAGCAATCAGGCACCGCCTTACTGCCGCCAATTTCCCCAGTCCGCCAAGGACCATGTCAGCCAACATATGCGGACTCATCACATCGATGCGTTAGTAGTTATCGCTGCCGTTCTCGAGAATGATCAGGAGGTTCCTCTCAAGGTGGCCCTTGGGCGGAGTCCCCTCCTTCAGCTGCGCCCCGAGCTGCACGCAGCAGACGACAGGAAGCGCGAGCTCGTCGAAGCACGGCATCATCACTTTGCACTGGCACCCTTGAGCGCGGTCTGGGTATTGATGAGCGGAAAAGGACACTGCCCGCTTCATGGACTTTTGGCCTGTGCCTCTATCCTCTCCACCAACTTCATGGCATTCGACTTGCCACAGTTGTAGCCCTCCTTCTCGCAGCCCTCGAAGCTCCCCGCGTCGCGGCACATCATGCCGAAAGCACGCGCGCAAATCCAGCTGAACAAGAAAAGGGGCATGGTCGCGACATGCTGCGTCACGACTCCCGCAGCCAGTGCGCACGGCGCATCTGTAGTGTGAACAACAGCATACAGGACACGTAGCTGGCACACCGTGAAACACGATCAATGTACGACATACGCTGGCGTTTACCACGTAAACATCGAAAGTCAGGTGTTGCATCAACAATTCTTGCATCATCAGGTACTGATCCAGATAAGCTCGGGCCACATGTAAAAAAAGGTGTCTGCAATATCCAACCCCCGAATTTCTACCATCTCGCGTGCGATAGATCCTGCCTGTTGCTCCATACTGCATCCGTGCCTCTCACCTGCGGCAAACGTGATCTCACATGCGCTGCACTGCCCCCTCACCAGTCCCACAACACCATTGGCATAAGTCACCATGATCTGAAAGATACGACACGGGCCCGCTTGTACTTGTTGTGCGTAGTCATAAACACAATGGATGGTAGCATTGAGCTTCGCCCGCTCCCGCAAATCCCTGCTTTGAAGAGTAAGAAAAAAGGCCCACGACAGTCTCGTCCCCGTAATACGAAATAATACTAACAGCACCCCCCACACCACGAATATCTTTTGGGAAGGCCCATATACGCACTGCGTCCCGAGCTCGAAGCGTCTGCTTGTTAACCATCGTCGAAACACCACACGATGAGTTTGTGAAGCTGTCTCTTGGGTCAGATCCAAATTGCCTGCTCTCGAACTTCATGTGGGCCACCACCGCGTCTGCGGACATGAACACGAACCATTGCGTACCGATAAGGGAGGAGGAGGAGGAGGAGGAGGAGGAGGAAGTGGAGGAAGAGGAGAAGGAGGAGGGAGGGAGGGAGGAAGGACGGAAAGAGGAGGGCGTAGGCAGGGAGGGACGATGGACGCGGGAGGAGAGAGGAGGATGAGGAACGCAACCGGTTGAAACGCAGCGTTTGTGTAGACAAGCAGTGGCAGGCGGCTACCGCCTTTCCGATGGCATGACGCTCAGCGAACGGCAGTGGCATCGTCATACGTGATGGTGATGGTGATGATAAGGATGCTGATTTTGCCAACCATGATGACGACAATGACGAGTAATGGCGATGACGACGATGACAACGACGTTGATGATGAGTCTGGTAATGATGCTGATTCGGGTGCTCCTGATAATGATGTTAGAAATGATGATGACGACGACGATAACACTGGCAATGACGATCACGATGGTGCTGATGATGATGCAAATGATAATACAGGTGGTGCCCTTGACGATGAGGATGCTGATGTATGCTAACGCATGATGGTGTATTGTGATGATGAGTGCTGACGATTGTGCTGATGATGCTGGTACCGATGACGGTGATGATGCGGATGCTGCTGCTGATGGTGATGCTGCTGCTGATGATGATAAAGGTCATGCTGATGCTGATGGGCGATGAGGATGATGACGCTGATGATGATGCTGATGAGGATGATGCTGATGATGATGATTATGATTTGTGTGGTGGTGATGATGATGACGATGGTGATGATGTCGACCACGATGGCGATGGTGACGATGACGACGATGACGATGCCGGTGATGATGACGATGATGTGATGAGATCGATGATGATGGCGATGATGATGAGGGCAATGGCGATGGTGACGATGATGACAATGCCGGTGACGATGACGATAATGATGATGATGATGACGATGATGGTGATGATGGTGTTGATGATGATTATACTTACGATGATTGTGATGCTTTTCTTCCTTCGTGCTCTGGACGCAAACCAGGACGGTAGTCCTACCAAGACAAGGTCTACCACAGTAGAACGCATGCCCCGAATACGCATTCGAATGGGGAAAGACATTGGTGCATTGACCAAACCGCACTTTCCCGCAACACACGCACGCGCAGCTCACACATTAACAGAAGAGGCCTACAACTCACCAAGGAGACCACGTCTACTGTGAAGTCTGGGCTGGTCCTTCAAATTGCCTTCTTGACACTTCCGCTATCCTTCAGTTCCACGGACGACAAGTTCGCCTGGAGGTCCTTCGCTTGCCCCGTTCTCTTGAACATCAGGCCACTTTTGACTATCAAGCCAAGCCAATACATGTGTAAAAGAAACAATGCGCACAACGCGAAATTGAGGAAACCCCAGCCATAATTGGACTTGGGCCCCACCTCAACGGTGCTCTCTACCCAAGCGCTCTGCATGATGTAGATGGGAAATACGAAGATCCGGCTCCACACAAACACCGTGATGAGCCCGAAATAGGACACCGCTATCAAGTGAATCCAAGTTGTGTCAACGATGGCCTTCGATGCGTAGATGAGCACGTCTGTGGCTCCATGCAGCAATATCACGAGGCTGCCGATGCGCACGTAGTTCAGCAGGTAAGAAAAGGTGGTGAGGTAGCAGGCGATCGTGTGGTGCAGCAGCATCTCCTCGAAGTCAGGCAGGCGCCTGTCCAAGAGCAACATTGCAATCTCGCTCAAGGAAAACCCGACTGCAGTGAGGTAGAAGCGCTTCAGGTCTTCAGGAACCTCTTGGAAGGGATGGCCATCCGTCCAACAGAAGCGTGTCTCTCCATGCCCGCCAAGCACCTATGGCACCCAAGGCTGCCCCTTGAGCAGCGAAAGCCCCCAAGTGGTCATGGTAGCGTCGTAGAAGAACTTGAAAACAGAATCACAACACCGGACAACCCTCGCGCCGTACACTTCTGGCTTCCACCTTGGCTTCTTGACGATTATCGCACGCGCGACAAAATCGAAGCTGGCCCGGAACAGCAACTGGGCGGCCGTCAATCCCACTCCAACACATGCTGCCATCACGAAGTCGGCGTAGACTGGGTAACCGCCGTTGGGCTCCTGTTGCAGACGCGAGCTCACCTCCTTGTGCATGTCCGCGGCCATCAGTCCAGCCCATCCGAAAGCAACCACGACCAGCCCACGGAGCAAATAGTCCTTTACGCCGCTCATGTCGCGCCACGCGACCTCCGAACACGGGCCGGAGGCTAATTACAGAAGACGGCTCCTTCGATGCCAAACCTCTGCCGGGCACAACATGCTTGAGCCAAAATGGCTACGTATTATGATGGTGGCGATGGTGCTGGTGCTGGTGCTGGTGATTGTGATGATGATGATGCTGGTGCTGATGCTGATGATGATGATGATAATGGTGATGGTGATGGTGATGATGTGGTTGTTGATGATGATGGTGATGATGATGATGGTGATGATGATGGTGATGATGATTATTGCGGATGAGACAGGGAGGAGGGGGGGCGAGGCAGCACACGCCAAGAGGGTAAATTCCGCGGCGATGCCAGCACCGTGCCCATAGGAGCTCGCTCGGCCCACGCAAAGTGCAGCCGATCCGTCACCCTCACAGCACCCACAGCCCTCGGCGAGGGCGCCCGAGGCCTGTTGGACGCACCTCCCCGTGGGCAACAAGGCGAGAGCAGCGGGCAACGACGGGGGAAGCGGGCTGCGGGGATCTACTGACCCGGGTCCATGCAAACCCAGGTCAGTCAGGCCTTGCATGATCCATCGTGATCCTGCATGGTCCTGCACGTCAGCCTGGTGCAATGCAACCCTGGCCCTGCAGGATCCTGCGCGATCCGGCGCTCTGGCTGACCCCGTTTGCATTGACCCCCGTCTCAAGGCTCCCGACCCAGACCCCCGACGTCATGACTTTTCCATGGCGCGACTCCCAGAGGTCAAGACTCATTTCCCGGGACTGGTATCTCACCCCGAGTCGTTTTTTGACTGTCCCGAGGCCCGGCGAAGGGCCCCAGGGGCCGAAAATAGCGAAAAGCCTCCCGTCGTGATTGTTTCATGACCCGAGGGGTCTGGGGAGGGCTTCCTGACAGCGGGCCCCTGGCAGCCGACGCAATCATGTGGCTGTTCCGCGGCGGGGCACTCGAGCCCCTGCACCGGGGGAGAGCCACCTCCTGGCGAGCGCAACGGAGCCCCGAGCAACTGGCCGCCTCTGTCCGTTCTGATGGCGCCTGGGTCTGATGGGGCCGGAGGAGGAGGAGGAGGAGGAGGAGGAGGAGGAGAAGGAGGAGGAAGAGGAGGCGGAGGAGGCGGCAGAGGCGGAGGAGGCGGAGGAGGCGGAGGAGGCGGAGGAGGAGGAGGAGGAGACGTGCGTATTCCCATGCCCAGACCCCCGCGGGTCATGAAACAATCGCGGCGGGAAACTCCTCGCCATCTTCGGCCCCTGGGGGATCCCGTGCCGGGCCTCGGGGCCGTCAAAAAGACTGCTCAAGATGGAACAAAAACCGTCCCTGGGGTCGCGCCGTGCGGCCGCCCCGCCGTGCAGCCCGCTCGAGGAATCACCGTCGGGAAGGAGGGGCGCCTCCGCCGTGCAGGCTGCGGCGGGCGATGCTTCGTTCTACATGGGTCCATGTGTGCTGAGACGGCTGCGGGCGGCAAACAATACCTGGAGAAAGGTACGGCGACACATTTGACCATGAGAGGCAGAATGCGCAGCAGAACCAGGGCATTTCGCCAGCCACACAGCCCAACAGCGCGGTCGACCTGCCTGGCACGCGGGCGCCTCTCCCTGGATAGATCGCGAGATGCTTGCTTCTCCTATCACGTGATCTTCTCGAGGCCCTCGTGGAATCCTCTCTCTCTCTCTCTGGTTGTCAGTGTCTCTCTTTCTCTCTCTTTCTCTCTCGTTCTACCTATTTCGCCACTTCCTTCTGTATCCCTCTTTCTCTAGACGTACTATACATACGTATATATACATGTATCGGAAGTGAGGGGGTGAGATCGAAGTGGAACGGAGAGCCCCCCTACCGGGAAATCAATTTCGGTTTCGTGTTCGTGCGTGCCGTGCGTGCGGGCGAGGTGAAGCTGCGTGGGCGGGCGAGAGAAAGTCTCCTGTGGCTGAGGCGCGGCCGGACCAAATGTTTCCCTTCTGGGCGGCCGGTGGCGCGCGGTGTCCCGCCGGTGTCCCGCTGGTGTCCCGTCGGTTCTCCTGTGGCTGAGGCGCGGCCGGACCAAATGTTTCCCTTCCGGGCGGCTGGTGGCGCGCGGTGTCCCGCCGGTGTCCTGCTGGTGTCCCGTCGGTGTCCCGTCGGTGTCCAGATGATGATGTGGATGATTATGATGATGATGGTGATGATTATGATGATGATGATGATGATGATGGTGATGATGGCGATGATGATGATGATGTTGTTGTTGATGATGATGACGTCGATTGTGAGATCGATTGTGATATCGATAGTGAGACCGAGTGTGAGATCGATTGTGAAATTGATAGTGAGATCGATTGTGAGATCGATAGTCAGATCGATTGTGAGATGATGATGGTGATGATGGTGATGATGGTAATGATGGTGATGATGGTGATGATGATGACGATGATGATGATGATGATGGCGTCGATTGTGAGATCGATTGGGAGTACGACTGTGAGATCGATAATCAGATCGATTGTGCGATGCTGATGGTGATGATGGTGATGATTGTGATGATGGCCATGATGGTGATGATGATTGTGATGATGATGACGACGTTGATGATTATGGTGATGCTGATGCTGATGATGACGATGATGATGATGATGATGATGATGATGATGATGATGATGTTGATGGTGATGTCGATGATGATGATGATGATGATGATGATGATGATGATGATGATGATGATGATGATGATGATGATGGTGATGATGGTGATGATGGTGATGATGGTGATGATGATGATGATGATGATGATGATGATAATGATGATGATGACGTCGATGGTGATATCGATTGTGAGATCGGCCACTCGTCGCCACGGCTGGATTCGCCTCGAACCGTTTCCTCCTTCGTTGTCTCCCTCCGCTCGTTCCTCTCCTCGCCTCCTCCCTCCCGTCCTCTCCCTCTTGGTTCCTCGTCGTCGTCGTCGTCGTCGTCGTCGGTCTTCGATCCTCGGTCGTTGCTAGACGGGGCTGCCGAGTGAAAATTGCCTGGAGCTCCGGCGCTGTTTTCGCGTCGAGCGAATGTGAGATCGATTGCGAGAGTTCGATTGTGAGATCGAATGAGAGTTCGACGAGGAACCAAGAGGAAGACGAGGTGAGACCGAATGAGAGTTCGACTGTGAGACCGAATGTGAGATCGATTGCGAGATCGATTGTGATATCGATAGTGAGATCGACTGTGAGATCGATAATGAGATCGATTGTGAGATCGATTGTGAGACTGAATGTGAAACCGAATGTGAGATCGATAGTGAGATCGATTGTGAGATCGATAGTGAGATTGATAGTGAGACCGAATGTGATACCGAATGTGAGATCGACTGTGAGATCGATTGTGAGATCGATTGTGAGATCGACAGTGAGATCGAATGTGAGACCGAATGTGAGATCGATTGTGAGATCGATTGTGAGATCGATAGTGAGATCGATAGCGAGATCGATAGTGATATCGATAATGAGATCGAATGTGAGATCGATAGCGAGATCGATTGAGTGAGACGTTGGTTCCCCCTCCCCCCTCACCTCCTTATCACCCGCAGGGTGGTCGTCAAAATATATGATGCATATCCCTCTCTCTCCCTCTCTCCCATACGTCTTCCGACTTCCAAACCGTCCTGTGGTGTTGGGCCCTAGTTTTGAATCAGCAGACCCGCGTCGCCTTCCTTCCTTCCCCTTCCTTCCTCCTCTCCCTCCCCCTGCTCGCTCCTCCCCATTCCTGCAGCTGCCCTGCTCCGCACGTCCACTTCGGCACGCCCCTCACACGGTTCGTGGCCCCACAGGGAGCTCCACTGCAGGCCCCAGTGGCAGGGCTCTCATGGCGACCCCGCCGCCCATTTCGGCACACCGCTCACGCGTTTCGTGGCCCCATTGGGGGCTCAACCGAAGGCCCCAGAGGCAGGATTCGCATGGCGGCCCCGCTTTATGTCGGCGCACCCCTTACACCGTTCGTGGCCCCGTAGGAAGCTCCATGGAAGGTCCCGCGGGCAGGGTTCGCATGGCGGCCCCGTCTCAAGTCGACACACCCCTCACACGTTTCGCGGCCCCATGTGGAACTCCACCGAAGCCCTCAGTGGCAGGGTTCTCATGGCGGCCCTGCTCCACTTCGGCAGACCCCTGACACGTTTCTTGGCCCCATAGTGAGCTCCACCAAAGGCCACAGTGGCAGGGTTCTCATGGCGGTCCCGCCCTATTTCGGCGCAATCCCTCGCACGTTTCGCGGCCCCATAGGGAGCTCGACCGAAGGCCCTGGTGGCAACGTTCGCATGGCGGCCCTTCGGCGCACCCCTCCCACTTCTCGTGGTCCTATGAGGAGCTCCACCGAAGGTAGCAATGGCAAGGCTCGCATGATGGCCCTGGCCCATGTCGGCACACCCGTTACACGTTTCGTGGCCCCGTGCTCCACCGAAGGCCCCCGTGAGAGGGGTCCGCATGCGGCTCCCCGCCTATTTCGGCACACCTCTCACGTGCTTCGTGGCCCCACACGGAGCTCCACCGGAGACGGTGCTCATGACTGCGTTGCCCACAACTCCATATGGTTGGGCCCTTTGCCACGACCATCATGAAACTGTCAAGGCCAGGGACCCTGGACAGGGCGCCCCCCCGCTCTCCTGAGCGAATCTCGGACTCCTCGGGCTGCTGGACCCCACCCCCGGGGCTGCTCGGGCGCCCCTGCAACGCGTCCCGTCGGCCTCCCGACCTTCTCGGAGGGCCCACAGAGGACTCCAATACTGCCCAAGACAGCTCGTCGACAGCTCAAAACCATACCAAGACGCCCAGCATGGGCCCCACACGGCCCAAGAGGCGCCCAAAACGCATCAGGAAAGGCCCACGACGGCGCTCCCAAGAGCGCCCGAATAGCAGAGCATCGCCTGTTTTCCCTTTGTTTTTGAAGGATTTCGGCGTTCTCCCATTTCCACGCTTCGACGCTCCAAGATGCTAAACATTTGGCAGTTCCACAAGGAAAACCAATGATCTTGGGCGGTTGGGGCCCTGTGGGGGCGCCTTGGCGGCGTGTGCAGCTCTCTGAGAGGCATCTCGGGCGTCTTGGGGCCATCGGTCGGCGACCGGTGGCCGTCCCAGAGCTGCCCGGGCCTCCTCCCGAACGGCCTCGGCGAGCCGCGGACCCCATGCCCCGTCGAGGCGCCGGCCCCAGAGGCCCCCACCCTGTACCCCGATATATATATATATATACACATATACATACATATATATATATATATATATATATATATATATATATATAGATATGTACACACACATGCTAGAACCACGCGTGCGCTTCGCGCGCGCTTAGGTTCTAGCTGCTCGAGTGCTGACCGCATTGAGAGCAACAAGGCGGTCATGAAAAATAAGGTCAACATTCTCTGCTTCCTCCTGCCTCTTCCTATGCGCCGGTATGTTTTGGAGGCCTCTTGGGGGCCGTGTGGGGTGCCCTTGGGGTCTCTTTTTGGGCCTTGGGCGATCGGGGCTCAATTCGTCCACCTCGGCCTAGCCCCCCCGGATTGCTAATGTGGCCCCCCACGGTCACACGGGCAATCGGAACTCAATTCCCACGACGCCCTGCCCCCCCCCCTCCCCGATTGACAATGTGCCCCCACTGACAAATTAGCAATGGGAGCTCAACTACCGCGCCTCGGCCTGCCTCCCCGATGGTCCATGTGACAGTTGGCCCCTGCTGTCAAATCGATATTCGGATTTCCCTGGCCGCCAAGACGTGGCCCCCAAACAAGCTACCTGACAATGGGGCCCCACTGCCAAATGCGCTACCCATCTCCTTCCCCTCGCCTTGGCTGGGCCTGCACGTTTGCCAATGGAATGGCTGCCCATTGGGCAATTCGGCCCCCGGAGCTACATACATGCTGCAAAGGCCAAATGGAAGACCACCGAAGAGACGCGCGAGAGCATCCTAATGACCCCATCACGAGCTTCGTAACAACAGGGGCCTCAAACGGGGCACCCGACTAACAGACCATGTAAGATCGAATTTGACAATTTGCTTTTTCGGCCTCCCAATGCTTGCGCCATCCAGAGCGTCTCCATTGCAATTGCCACCGCCTTTTAAAATGTGAAACCGTCTCATCTGCACCGATCGCAAAATCCGCCGACCCTGTCGGCGTGTGTGAAGGGCTTCTCCGTTCGACTCGTCGTCTCCGTCGTCTCCTTTCTCCCCCTCCCAGGGCTCTCCTCCTCAAGCGCGCTATCCAAAGCGAAACAAAACGACGTCGTAGTGGAGTCGAAAGGAAGCCCCTTCCCTTTGATCCCTTCCCCGCAGAGGGGGGGGGCGGGGCAGATGCGACGCCCGCCGGGGCGCACTTTTCTCGAGCGGGCACGCACGGGATGCACTTCCTCCTCCTCCTGGTCCTCCTGCTCCTCTCCTCCTTTTCTATATGGCGAACCGTCGACAGGGGGTTAAACAAGGTTTTAACGGCCCCAGCCAGAGCCGC